CTGGCGATAGCTAGATAGTGCTAAGAGTTTAATCCCTGTGCCACCAGGGAGGCCCCGGTTACTTCTTCCTTGAATTACTGCTTCAGCTTATCAAATGTCTTCATTACGCTTCATTTTTATTTTCCCCCTAATTCACATCAGAGTGAGCATTCCTGAAGATAGATATGCTCATGAAGATTACACTGCTTAAAATCCTTCTGTGGTACCATATTGCCTTAAGTGTAAAGTTTGAACCCTTTAGTATTGGTATGGAAGTTCTGTGACTTAAATCCTGATTCCTCCTCTGTACTCCCAACCACACATTCTCAGCCCTTTAGGGACCATTGGCTCATAGTTCCCAGAACCTGCCTGACCATCTCTGGCCTTTGTACTATAGGATTTCCTCTTTGGGGAACATACTTTCCCCATTTTTCACCCAGTTAATGCTAAGTAACTGACTTTTAGAGCTTAGATTAGTTGTCAATTTTCCTGCAGACTGAGCTGAAGGGTGGAAGGGGTTAAGTCTCAGAGCTATCCAGCTGTCCGCAGCCACTGCAGCAAGAGTTCGATCCCTGGCCAGGGAACTGACCCACATGGCTCAGCAGACCTCTCCTGTCTTGCCTGCTGATCCCCTCAGCAGTGTATTTCAGTAGATCCTCGTGTTCTGCTCCCCACTCTGTCTCTGGTGAATCCTCTCACTGCCCCCCCGATCCCCCCACCTCTGGCCTACACCCCCAGCTCTTGTATGCATAAATAAATAAAATAAATCTTAAAAAAAAAGACAGCTGAAGTTGCCTTACATGTACTCTCTAAATATATCCCTGTCACAACCCTCACCACTCTATTTTTAATCAATATTTGTTATTTATTATTAGTATTTATATCATTTTGTTTCCCTTTACTCTCTCTTAGTTCATGGGTTTCCATTTGGGCAAAGACTGGTCTCTATTTTCAGTACAGATCTCACCATATAGGAGGTACAATATTTCAAATAATGAAATATTGAGCTCCTTCATTTATAGTTGAGAAACCAAGGTGCAGAGAAATAAATTACCCATAAATCAACACACACTATTATTTTTTTAAAGAATAGTTTTCTGCCATATTTTTTTTTAAAGATTTATTTATTTGTACAAGAACTGGGGTACAGGCCAGATGTGCAGGAGGGTGAAAGGATTCACCAGAGATAGTGCGGGGAACAGAACAGGCAGACTGACTGAAATACACTGCTGAGGGGAGCAGTGGGCGAGACTGGAGAGGTCTGGCGGTGCCATGTGGGTTGCTCCGCGGCTAGCAGGGATTGAACCGGCACTGCGGAGGCTGCAGGCAGCTTCACAGCACTGCGCTCAACCGCATGTGCCACCAGGGAGGCCCAACACACACTATTTAAAGGCAGACTGCCATCTAGTCTAGTGTTTGTTTTCTCTTTCAGGAATTACAGATTCACATGTCTATTAAGGCCAGAGAGACAACATATTTTTATAATTATTCTGTCATTTTCCCAGGACATGTGTTTTTCTAATACTACATTTTCCCATATATGATAAAGATCTATTTTGATAAAAGAAATGTTTTCCTCTTAAACTACCACATAAGAAAAACAATAGTGTGACGATCATGGTTATGTTGTGACTTGAGAAATTATAGATGATCCAAAGTTGTTCCTTCATTGAGGTGCCATGGGAGTTGTATACACATAAATATGGCGCTCAGTGTGTGGTTTTAGTCTTTGGATTCTTGCCCTAGCCTGGTACTCAAAAGCTCCTGACCTTTCCCGTTTCATCTCTAGTTGTTAAGCTCCCATATACACTGGTAGACACACGGACATACCCTGTACATACCATCTTTAATGCCTCTCATCCTCTCTGTCTTTTCTTCCTGCTGTCTCTGCTTAAATTAACCTCAATACATTGCCTGCTACCACCCACTCTTATTGTTTGGTGCTTGATGGACCCCAGCTCAAAACTCTAAACTCAAAAGCTGTTTCTAGGCAGAGACTTCTGTGGTGTGTGAGCGTGTGTGTGTGTGTGTGTGTATTAACAGATTACAAAAGAACTTTTGCAAATATGTTATTCAGCTGTCCCATTTAGGTACAGTTGCCTAGAATTCTTAACATAGTTAAAGGAGAGTCCAGGATTAAATTACATGGTTCTTGAATTTTCAAGAGGTGGCTTATTGCCTTTGGTATCAAATTTGATTAAACTTGTTAACTTTAATGCCATTTGGTTCTGTTGGGGAAGAAGAATTAAATTGCTTTCTCTAGAGATTGAATTTTTTTCTACTGACTAAGGAACAGAACATTTATTAAAATTATCTTGGTGACCTGAAAGAGAAATGTACTTCTTTTACCTCAGCGGAAGCAGGTCCAGGGCATTATTAGCACATGGTAAAAATTGAATAATTGAGCAACACTGACTTCTTTGGGATTCAGCCTTCCAGCCCCTGCTGTGTGATTAGTTCTGTCCAAGCTGCTGGCATGCCAGAGCAGGGAGCCTGCAGAGGATTAGGAGGGAAAAACCCTTTAGTAAGTCTCAGATACTAAAGACATTTGATTTAATTTTACATGTTACACATGATAATCTGGTTTCCCTTGGCAACCTTCAGTTCTGCCCTGCTTTATAATCAGATGATTGCAGGATACAGGCAGACTTGGTGGCCTCACCTGGAAGTGGCTATAGAGAACAGAGTTTACCTCAGGAGTGAAAAATGTCACTGAAAAAAGCCAGAAGAGTCTGAGTCCCCATGAAGGGACAGAAAATTCTCTATAGCTTAGATATCCGTGAAAATTTTGTTGATGAAGAAGGAGGTTCCAGAACTACCTATGGAGAGTAATTTGGGATGAGAGGGAAAGGGATCAAGTCTTGTAAATCTTTGCAGTGATAATGTTATTTGTGAATTGTAGACAAGGTTTTAATTAAAAAACTACAATAATAGTTATTATTTATTAAATACATGCCAGGAATCTTACTTGGTTCTTTACTTACACAGTTTCATTGAAACCTTACAATATCTCTGCAAAGGATGTATTAATATCTGTTTTATAAATGAGGAAGCAAGTACTTTGTAATGGCTTAAAATAAGGTGACGCAATTTTGACTACAAGATTTCAGCTTTAAGAGAGGTATTATTCCTTTTTAAAACACCTCAAAGTCCTCTAAAGTTTAATTTTACCTCTATTGGAAACATTATGTAGACTTATAAATGTCTATTAATGTAGCCACCTAGAAAAGTTTAAATTATAATCATTTTGTTCTAACTCTCTCATTTTGTATCTTAGGAAATTGAATAATAGTTCACTTAAAGCCTAAAGCAGGGTCTGCTGACTCCTAGGCTGACTCCTAGTAATTTATATATTATACTATGCTCATAAACTTTCAAAGGGGACTTGAATAAATGGAAGGAAAGTAGGAGGGGGTCTTATAGTATTATGAATGGTATTAGTTTGGGCTTGCAAAATTAACAAATCAGAAGGTACAGATATTTAGGCATTGGCAACAGTTCTTATAGCTAGTGATTAATTTATTTGGCTTGGCTCATGTCTTTTTTTTTTTTTTAAGAGTTATTCCTTTATTGTAAGATTTTTATTTTATTTATTTTTGCGTTGAAGAACTGGGATATAGGCTAGAGGTGCAAGCGGTGTCTCCCCACAGAGACAGAGTGGGGAGCAGAACAGGAAGATCTACTGAAATACACTGCTGAAGGGAGCAGTGGGTGAGACAGGAGAGGTCTGCTGTGCCATGTGGGTTAGCTCCCTGGCCAGGCATAAACTCAGGCAGTAGGGGCAGTAGTGCTGCAACTTAACCCCTAGGCCACCAGGGAAGCCCTTGGCTCACATCTTAATGAATTAATGTACTGAGTTTTTCCAAATGATCATAAGTTTCTAGAGCCCTCCTGGTCATTTAAAAAGACATACAATATCCACATACGTATCTGTGTGGGTATTCATATGTATATGTATGTATTCATATGTATGTGGTATGCATGTGTGCATGTATCTACAGGTCTAGAGGTGGATACAAATATGTGAGTGGTAATGTGATAATGACTGGCCATTTTTCTGACATGTAGAAACAGAGACTACATAATGGCATTTTAATGACTTACACATATCGACTTCTGTTACATTCACAAGGTGCTAATACTGAGGAATGGCATGTCTTTACCTTTCTTTGGGATGAAAACTGTGGGAGTCTAATAGCAAACTGAGCAATCTTAATGTTATACACTTACTATGCAAAGTATTGTACGTGAATTTCATTTAATCCTCCTAACAACTGTGTTTGTGAATGTTGTCTTCATTTCAGCAACTCTTTTAGTTTATTTATCCTTCTCAGCACATTTCCCCTAACATTTTATTATGAGAATTTTCAAATACAAAGTTGAAAGGATGGTACAGTGAACATCCACATACCCACCTAGATTCTATAATTGTTCCTATTTTTCCATATTTGCTTTCTTGAATATCTAGCCAACAGCTTATCCATCTATCCGTCTTAGTTTTTGTTCTATTTCAAAATGAACTACAGAGATTAGTACATTCTAGTGCTAACCATGTACATGTGAATGTCTTCAATTAGAATTAAAATGTGTTAGCCCTATTAAAAATAAAAACAAGAAAAAAATGAGCTTTTTCAGTTCTGTGTTATGGGGAAATAATGTGTACTCAGCCACTTTGGGTCTTCCCCTATGAAATAGTAAGATAATTTAAGAATAAAAAGTAAGCTACCCATGTTAAAAAAAAAAAAAAAACATTTGAACCTCAATAATGAGAAATAGAAATCTATCGGGAGAAAGGGGGGATACCCCTGTTGAATTCCTAAGCCACAGCAAGTCAGCATTACAAAGTGACATCTTACCTCATTTCTGAGGTCATCACACATTTCTGAACATTAACTCCTATGTAAAAGGGAGACTTTGATTAGCAAATTAGCTCTGTACTTTGGTGATGATATTGCAGCTTAATTTCAATGAACATTTTTTCTCCTTTTCTCCTTTCTTGGTGTGACTAAATTGCTACACAGCATGCTGCATGGTTGCTGGTAAAACAGGAAATGGGGTAAGTAATTTAGGTAGGGAATTTTTACTACCATTTAAATATAAGACACCTAGTTTTACTACTTTTACAAAGTAGTACAAAGTAGAAAAGCAGTACTTTTACTACTACTGTCTCTTTTTTTAGAGTGAGCTCACTAGCTACTAAAGAAATGGGCACAAAAAGAAAATTTTTATTGTATAAATAGGTGTCAACTTTGTTTAATTCATTAATTTTCATATCATATTCATAGTCTATGAAAGCAGATTCATTTTTTTTGGGTGACAAATGTGAATGTGAATATATATTTTATATGCATTAGGTACGTATATAATATAGTTTGTAAAGATAATTTAAAGGAATAAATTTGGTCTTAGAAACTATATTTTGAAATTAATTATTCTATAAAAGACACAAAGTGAAATCCTAGTTAAGGTTGAACAATTAAGTGAAACAGTTGGCAGCCAAATGTGTTTTGAATTTAGAATTTTTTAGATTTTGGAAATGTAATCTGATGTTAAATACCCTATGTAACATACCTCTCCTCCAGGGTTGGGGTGGGTGCTATATAATCAAATATATGAATGTTTCTGCAGTAAAACATGTAACTATTCACACACATATAGCAAAGTCTCTAAATAGCTACACATATTCAAATCACGGTTTGACTGACAACTGTGTTTTTGGAAAAAAAAAATCTGTAATTTTCCAGAGCTTTAAGGATTTTGAAGCTAAAAATCTAGTAACACAAAAAGGGCCATGATGTTGCTGGAGGGCCTGGTATTCTCTAGAGAGAAAAACACAGAGGAAAGTATGGGTTTCTCTATTAGCATCTCTTATTTCGTAAAGTGATTTATAGAAAGGTAATTTGGCTTTTTTGGAGGATTTGTACTTCATATTTGTACTTCATATTTGTACTTCATACTTCAAAAGGTAATAATCACTTGTTTATTGAAGGTTTTGGGGTTTAGTCAGGTTGTATTAAATTAGTCTCCAATGTTTATTATTCTGGCATAATAATTTTGATTCTGCATTTGAGAAATTTGTCAGCAAAGTCTGAGCATACTATTTTTAAAATGCTTCCAGTTTCCAGCCACTGGCTTGTGAGTTGCTATTGTTATTTTTCATTAAAGGATTTTAAACTAAGCTTAGTTCTTTCAAAAGATTCTGATTAATATATAGATACTGAGACAGAAAAAATAGGACACTAATCTTTTCCTTCAGTGTCTCCAGTTCATTCTATGTTTAAAAGATTATAGAGGAATTGTTATTAAATAATTGATGCAATTGGAAAAAAAATTGTGTTGGCTATTTTGGGTCATCTTTTCTCTAGAATGGTTGTCATGTATCTATACAAAAGTGACTGCAGTTGACATCCTCATTTGTAGTTACCTGACAGAGGAGAGAGGGAAATGCAATTTCTAAGTACTAAATGGGGGTTGAATTTACCTTAATGACTACTAATTCCACTAAAAGACAGGCTTTCATGCTAAGGATCTCTGTGAAAACATGTACCCTAAATCATATCAGAAATATTGTTAGCCACATTCAACGTGCAGGACTGAAAACCTGTCAGTTTAATATTTTATATTTACCTATATTAAGGATAAGGTTTCTAAGAAGATTGTTAACCCTTCCTCTAGCTCTTTGATCTGGAAGTTGGAGTTTTTAAACTGAGCTAAAATGTTCTACATGTATTATTTCAAAGACTATGAAGTTTTTAAAATAAACATATAATGAGTATTGTTTTAACCATTGTTAGGATTGGCACTTGCTGCAACCCTTTGTACTCTCCAGAGTCTAAACAGTTTTTAAATCATTTTCTGTTCTTGTGTTTTTTTTTTTAACTTTTTATCCTTTGAAATGCATTCTCATACATTATTTACTTTTCAACTATGATCTTATTTTATGTAAATATCATTAAACTATTGATACAATATTAAGATAGTCATTTAAAATACCTAAAAATGTCCCTGATATTCCAAGAATTAGAAAGTTTATGAAGTGCAAACACTTTAGTATTTTTTTTTAAAGATTTATTTTTATTTATTTATGCATACAAGAACTGGGGGGTAGGCCGGAAGGTGTTGGAGGTGAGAGGATTCCACCAGAAATAGAGTGGGGAGCAGAACAGGCAGATCTACTGAAATACACTGCTGCGGGGAGCAGTGGGAGAGACCGGAGAGGTCTGCTATACCATGTGCGTAACTGCCTGGCCGGGGATGGAACTCCTGCCAATTGCAGTCATGCCGCAGTGACTTGTGATAGCTTGACAGTGCTGAGACTTTAACCCCTGGGCCATCAGAGATACCCACATTATAATATTTGAATAGGTTCTTAAATATAGAGAATTGACTGTTTTTTCAGTTTAGGGCTTGTCTGGATATTTCAATGTTAAACTACAATACCAAAGTATATGAAAACATTCCTACCAATTGTAATCTCAACTGAATATAGAATGTGTATTTCTTAATTTACATTTTTAGAGGAACAGTAGTCCCTGTATATGTCTTCAGGTCAATTAATTTTAGCTAGTAGCTAAATTATTTCCTTCTTCCTATCTGTAGTTAGTAGTGTCTTTTGATCTCAAAGAATTAAATTATAAAGAATGTTGACTATAGTTGTTTCTATCATTGAAAACTGGACTTTAAAAGAGATGATTCACAAGTGTCCCTCGAATCTCTTTTGTGGCCCTATAAATAGCCATAAGACTAATTTAAAGTTTTAATTATTTGAATACTGTGGGCATGTTAGTCTGTTAGAGATCTTACATTGTTCTTGTAGGGTATAGCAGAGAAGTTTTAATAATACCATGCCATGTTTTTCTTTCTTTTTACCTCAGTTCCTTTCTATCACAATTTTAGATTGCAGACTAAAAGCTAGAAATCATAATTGGGACTTCCCCAAACTTATTTATTGGCTCATGAGTAGATTTGGGGGAAATGTTAGATTTTTATTCAGACATTTATCTGATATTAAGTTGATGATCATTTCAGAACATTGATACTTTAGGATTTAATATTTCCTCTTAAGCAGTAAAGGAGGGGGGAAAAGTACAGCTTTACATTCATTTCCCAAAAGTAAGCCCCCATTATCAGAAAGAGAATAGATGCAAACATTGTTAGTTTTGGTTGATACAGTAACACAGTTTTGTAGTTTTTGAGCAATAAAGAGTCCTTTCTGTCCCACTGAAATCTTTTCAATTCTAGCTCAGAAAAATTCATAGCTTACTTATATTTTCGGAGCTTTGAAACTACCTTATATGCCACTAGGAAAAAATGCAGTTCCTTGATTCTCCCAGAATATAAGGTTCATGAATGAGGATTTTTTTGGTTTGCTTTGTGAAAGGTTCGGCGCGGTAAAGAAAAGGAGAGCCAGGCTACATTTCTCAAAGGGAGGGAAAGTTTATTGCGCCCCGGGCGGACCTCACGCACCCAAGGTGGGGGTCAGTGAAGCCGCCAACGTTGTTAGGGGGAAGCAGGGTTTTATAGGGCGAGGAGAGGTCAGGTGGGAAGTTGGGCTCGTATGGCGGGAAAAGTTTGTAGGGCAGGTATAGGTTCGTGGGGCAGGTAGGGGTTCTTTGTCTGAGAAGAGACTCGTGGGGGGGAGGGGGGAGGCGCACCGCCTGAATCCTCCAGGCAGGTATCCGCATTCCTGCCCCCCAGGTGGGCTTCCTGGTTGGCTCCTGCATTCCGGCCTGCTGCATGGACCTTTCACTTTGTTTTTCTGCTTTCTATCTAATATGTAAAATGGCACCTGGCACATAGTAGGCACTCAAATATTTTTTTAATTGCATAAATTCTTGCCTTTAATAGAAAAAATGAAATTTTTCGTTCAGTGAATTAATTTTTCTGTTATTCAGAAAACAGAGTCTGTCGCCTGGAAGAAATGATATAGTTCAGCTAAAAGAAGCCTACAAATGGATAACTCATCCCCTGTTTTCAGAGGAACTGGGTGTTCCCATTGATGGAAAGGTAATGGGTCATTAGCATTGTTAATTTTGTTCACTGGTTTAACTAGTTTTACTTTATTATATGGCGAGTTTTGGTTAGCTGAAAGAATCTTCTTTTTAAATAATCCAGTGGAGGATGTTTGATTTTAAAATGGTAATTTCTAAGTCTTAAATTGAGTTTAAGTTTTTCTTTTTAAAGACTTCTTTGCGATCCAAGACACATATAAGTGTAACAGGTGTAGTGCCTCCTAATTGACCTTAAAAGGTTAGACGTAATTTATGCCTTTAATATATTTATAGTTTAATTGAAGAGATATATTTACTGATACTAAGCAATACATAAATAACTATGAGCAAGTGAGAGTCAATTCTAGACTATCTAATTTTGGTTATCTGTGGCTAATCTTGTTTTCAAGTAGGCAGGCATCCTATTCATCTGCTGTGAGCAGTTCCCTCTGTTTAATTTTAGGCAGAGACTGCCTTTGAACCAGAACAGTCAGTCTTCTCCCCTATTCCAGAGCAGACCTTACCTCAGTTTCTGGATTGGATTGAATTTCAGGGATGAATTCAATAGGTTTCCAGATGTGGAAATGTTAGTGGAACAGGACACATTCCCAACCCATTTTAAATTCAATCTTGGGCCTCCCTGGTGGCTAAGCGGTTGAGCTCTGGGCTGTGAAGCTGCCCGTAGCCTCTGCAGCGCCGGTTCGATCCCTGGCCACTGGGCAAGGGTCCCACATGGTGTGCAGACCTCTCCTGCCTCCCGCTGCTCCCCTCAGCAGTGTACTTAGGTCCTTCTGCCTGCTCTGCTCCCTGCTCTGGCTCTGGTGAATTCTCTCACCCTCCCGTGCTCCTGACTGTACCCAGTGCTTGTATAAATAAATAAAAATAAATCTTAAAAAAAAAAATAAAATTAAAAAAAAAATCAATCTTAATAATATGGTCTCATTGTTTCACCATTTTGCTTGAAGGAAATTCCCTGATTATCAGACATACTCCTATTCAGGTAAAATCACAAAACCCTCTTCCAAAGTTAAAGTCCACCCCATTCTAAATTACATAGCTTTGTTTCTCTCTGTTACTAAGAACAAACTATGTGCTTTAAACTGGGGAGAATAATGAATAAAACCACTTCACAGAGGAAATGAGGTAATGAAAGTACTTTGGAAAATAGAGAAGTCCTGATGCAAAATATTTTTACCTCAGCTTTCAATTTTGAAGTGTAAATAATTTTACACCTTGAATCAGTGAGAACAGAAAATAGAAAAAAAAAGGTACAATAATAGATTCAGGATGACTGCAGTTTTTTTGAATAAAAGGAATATGTTGTAATTTAAGTTTTATTTTATAGTCTGATGAAGAGCAAAAAAGCCTATTCATTGTTTAGAGTAGCAAGAAGCTTGCTGACAATCCAATGCAATAAGTTCATACAGAACTGAGAAAATACAGCACTCAATAAAATAGTGACTTAATATGTCATCTTTTTCTCAATGTTTTGTATATTCTCCATGGAGGTAAATATATAGTGAGTATGAAGTGCTTTTTATGTGTACAAGGATGCTCTTTGTAGAATATTTAATACCTTAAAAATTTATTAAAAACTGAAAAATAAATGTCCAACAGTTTCTACAGTTGAAAAGATACCCATGATATAACATTAATTGAATAAAGCAATTTTCTGAAAGTATATTTAATATCCCAAAAAGTATATACATTTGTGTCTGTATTTATAAAAATGTTGAGAAGGAAACACACCAAACTCTTACTACCTCTACCTCAGTGGTATGGGATTGAAAAACCATCCTGTGTTTGATTGTTTTATAATTTGTATGTATCACTTCATAATAAAACAAAAAATGAAGATCTCTCTTTTACAATTCAGATCCATAAAGAAGTTTGAATGATTTTTTTAAAAGTCTCATATAGATTTTTTATTTTTATTTTTTTATTATTTTTCAAGATTTATTTATTTATTTATACAAGCACTGGGTACAGTCAGAAGCACGGGAGGGTGAGAGAATTCACCAGAGCCAGAGCAGGGAGCAGAGCAGGCAGAAAGACCGAAGTACACTGCTGAGGGGAGCAGTGGGCAGCAGGAGAGGTCTGCGCGCCATGTGGAACCCTCTTCCTGTGGTCAGGGAGCAGCCGGGGATCGAACCGGGGAGGCCCTCTCATATAGATTTTTTGAACATGCTTTTTTGCCTTGTTAATAATTCTCAGTATAATATTGGCATGGATAATTCTTTGTTTATTTCAGCTACCTCTGTCCAATTCCCCGAATTCTCATTTATCTTCACATTTAATTTTTATACAGTGTACTAAGTCATACAAATATATTTTAAAATGTGCTTTACACTTGTTTTTTGGTAGGCTCACTAGTGATTGAGCTTTAGAAATTAAAAAAAAAAAAAAAAAGAAAAAAGATTTCCTTTACAGCTGCCCTGTGAACAAGCTGATTTGATAATAGTATTTCCAGTTTTCCTTGTCACTCTTTTTCTGAGCCAATTTTGATAGTTAATTTCTATTTCCATTCATAAGTTCTTAGATGTTGGTTTCCTTTTGCTCATTTTAAAACTGTCTTTATAATTTTTAGAGCTTGTTTGAAGTGAGTGTGGTCTTTGCTCACCCAGAAACAGTTGAGGATTGCCACTTCCTGTAAGTTGCCACGTAAACAATGTCAATTGTGTAAAATGTTGTTAATGCTCTTTGGCTTTCATGAAGATAGTATTGCTCCTCTTCTAATGAATAGCAGAACTTTGTTCGTTTAAAATGTGCTCTATGAGATAGGCAAACCAGTGCAATTTTTTTTTTTCCCGATGACCTGAACTTCACAACCATGTTGTATAAATTATATTTAAATTACATTCATCCTAGAATAAACTCATTAACCTTTTATATTAACTTGAATTTTACTTTAGACGTGTGATATGCCCAGATTGTTTCAAGCCAGCCAAAAACAAACAGGTAAGTATTCCTGCCTTTTCTTCTGTAGCGAGTTTTCTCTGACCTGAATATTCACATTAACTGTAAAAAAGATATGCATTAGAAATGTCATAATCTATTATACTAAGAATCAGTCTTTAAACATTCCCAGTTGCTACATTAATTTTTTAATTTATTTATTTTTAAATTCTTAACACCTTTGCCTCTGGCTAGGAAGTCTTAACACAGATTCTCATGTTTGTTTTGCTGCTGGGTTGTTCCCTGATGTTAAATTTAGAACTAGTGTTTCAATGATGTTTTTGTTATCTGTTTGGGGAAATTGAACTTTTAAAATTTTAATCCTCAAAATTACATCATCTGGGAAAATTTGTGGCATCAGCATTCCAAGCTTTTGTGTAATACCCATTTTCTAGAAATTAGTGTTTTAAAGATGTAATCCAAAGTAAATTATTTAGGACAGTCCTATTTCAAGTTACATTTGCCAAGAAAAAGGCATTTTATTCAAACTCAACTTTATTGTCTACATGTACTTTTGGTTTCTATTGTGCCAGGATAGAATGGCAAGATGTGCTATTAGGAAACTTTCATACCTAGTTACTTAGCTCATTTTGTGCAGACTCGGGCACTCCTAGTTTTACTGACCTTCATTTTGTTGTTTAAAAGAACGTAAGTTTATTATTAAAGATACGTTTGTTAGTCCTTCATTGATAATTGTTGGGCCTTGTAGAACTTGGGGAATAGGTGGAGGATTTGTAGCACTTGCCAGATGCCCTGTGTAGAAATACTCAGACGTGCAAACAAAGCCTAAAGCAGTGCTTTCCTCTTTTTCTCACATCATGGCACACCTGAAATGTTATCATTGTTTATCCAGCATCCTGAGCTTAACAGATGTAGTTGCTCTATATTGTAAGCAATAGGCCCAGAATTTCTGGGGTCCCTGGCTTTCTGACTAAAGAGATCAACATCTTGGAACAACTGTAGCTCACTGCTTTGCCATACCTTGGGACGCACTGCCCAAAGCACTGCAGGCCACATTTATTAAAGATATGTTTTTGTTGTTGTTGTTATCTTTGAGGACATATGAAAGTACAAGTGTCAAATAGTAGGATTAGGAAATTTGTGTCAAGGCATCAACATACCATTTAGTTAATAGGTGTAACAGTTTTCCTGCCTCATAGCTGCAGGTAAATTGAATAACCTTGAAATTCTTTTGGTCTTCAGGTTTTGTATCTTAAAGAAAAAAGCAATCACTTAATTTTCAGTTCTAACTTTATGACCCTAAACCAAAATATGGTTAGAAAACCATTGCTTTCACGATAAACTCTTGAGATACCGTTATTGTCCCTCTTTTCAGTCAAATAAAAAACAATCGTGAATTATCAGAGTAATCCATGTGTATATGCACTAATTGGTTTTACAATAGTATATCTAACATGGGGTTTGGCTTTAATTAAAAAAAACCCAGTAAGGACATTTGTTGTAGATACCCATCTCTTCAATATAGTGGATTCATTTACTTTGTCACTAATGAGTGACAGTGAGTTGGTAGATGCCAGGGCAGGTGGTTGACTTTGTTTTACCCTTATCCTGGCAGCCAATTCCTATAATTCCTGGGAAGAAAAAACACTCAAAATGCATTTGCTATAGTGTTATAGATTTTGTATTTGAAAAATAGTATATTTCAAGGAGAGTGGGACAATGAAGTGAAGAAGATATGCTCTGGCATTATACCATCTACCGGGGGGTCTAGACACAGGGTAGATTGAAGAGGAGGGTGATGGAGGAGGACTGGTTGCAGGCCTGATGTTATGAACACTTATGTTTTATTTATTTTCTTGAAGCCACTAAGTATTTCCCCCTTTTAAATATGGCTTTAAAATGATATAATTTCTTACCACTGATGTTTTCCTGTCTATATGATAAAAATGTTTTTCTTCTCATTTTGCCCTATGTAGTCAGTATTCACTAGAATGGCAGTCTTGAAAGCTTTGAATAAGATAAAAGAAGAGGATTTCCGCAAGTAAGTAGTTGTACAGAAACAAGAAAGCATCATGGAATCTTAGACTAGAGGGAATGTTAGAGATAATCTGAATTAAAAAGCAAGTCTGGAATAGGATTGTGTCTTAGTCACTGTTCTAGTTCCTGTCTCTGGTACAGTACTTAACATGTAGTGGGGTTCAGTAAATGTTTGTCAAATTAATATTTGAATTTACGAATCAAGTCCACTTTGCTTATCGTTTAGATGAGGATGTTGAGAACGAAAGAGGGAGTTGACTTGCCTAAGATTTTAACTGGGTAATAGATAGTGGACCTAGAGTCAGGTTTCTTGACTCTCCAGTCCAGTGCTGGTCCTATTACATCTGTAATCTTGCATGTCCTAGTATTTTTCCATTTCCAGAAGGCAATAAAAAGATTCATGTGTTAGGGCCTCCCTAGTGGCACAGCAGTTTGAGCGCTGCACTGTGAAGCTATCTGCAGCCTCTGCGGTCCTGGGAGAAAACCCACATGGTGCGGCAGACCTCTCCTGTCTTGCCCGCTGCTCCCCTCAGCAGTGTCTTCGGTCCATCTACCTGTTCTACTCCCTGCTCTGTCTCTGGTGAATTCTCTCACCCTCCCACGCCTCTGACTGTACCCCAGTTCTTATATAAATAAATAAATCTTTTTAAAAAAAGATTCATTTGTTAAAACATGCAAGATACAATGAACCTGATAGTCTATTTTTTGTTTTGATGAAATATTATTGTAGTTACCCATCCAGGATATCCTTGAATAAGTTTCAAGCAATGAATTTATGAGGAAGATTTAATACATTTTACTGGGTAAAGGCATATCTCAGTATTGAATTATTTTTATTAAATTTTAGAAAGTGAAACAGTTACTCTTTACAAGCAAGAGTTCTGAATAAATTATTTCTTTGTTAAACATTCTTGGGAAACTATATGAAATTTTTAAGCCATGCATTTGGTGTTAAGTTCACATCTAATCAGGTTTCTAGTACAGTTTGGACATTCCTATGATGAACAGAGAATAAAGTCATACATTGCTCTTTCCTTCCTGTCTTCAGTTGGATTGAAATTTTTAGCTACAAGGAAATAGTCTGCCTCATTCTATTTCTTTCTTTCTTTTTTTTTTTTTTTTTTTTTGACTCTATGTTTTGACTCCCAAGATCTTGAAATAAGTTGGAAAAGATAGAAAAAGAGTAGAATAGCCCCGTGGAACTTACTCATAGACTAATCTGTCACTGCACATCAACTTTCCACAAATAATTGAGGATTATGTAAATCAGCAGCAAGTGTTTGTGGATAGCAAAATAGCTAAAGAACTTAGAGAAGTTTCTGCTTCATATATATGGATTTTTCTCCCAATCTCACGGTTGTTAAAAATTGTCATCTGGGAACATGAGGCCTCCTGAGCATGAAAGGTAGTAGGAAAACCCTGATTTATTTAGTACCACTCTCATGTATTAAAAGTAGTATTCTAGGGCCTCCCTGGTGGTGCAGGGGTGAAGTCTTAGTGCTGTCAAGCTATCACCAGCTACTACAACATGAGTTCAATCCTCAGCCAGGGAGCTGACCCACATGGCACAGCAGACCTCTCCTGTCTCACTCTCTGCTCCCTTCAGCAATGTGTTTCGGTAGATCCTCCTGTTCTGTTCTCCGCTCTGTCCCTGGTGAATCCTCTCACCCCTTGTGCCTCTGGCCTACACCCCAAATCTTGTAAAAAATAAAAATAAAAATAAAAATAAATCTTTAAAAGTAGTACTTCAGAGGCCTGAAAGATCCTTAAAATTCCTACACTTAAATTAGGAAAAGGCTTTAGTCCTTGAGCAACTTGAGTTCTGTGTCTGTCTTCGACCATGCCGATTCATTGTAGTTATGTGATTTAATATCATGTCTGGAAAATAGTGGTTATAAAATTTATTTTGTTTTACAGGCAGTTTCCTTGTCCTCCAAGCTCACCAAAGGCAGTATGCACTGTTCTTGAAATTGAATGTGCTCATGGTGCTGTTTTTGTGGCTGGTAAAATATTTAGAATATACTTGCATTGCCAATTTATCACCCTTTCTCAAAAACCTCAACCAACTCCTCTATTTTCTTCTTGTTAGGTTATTAGGTTCTGATTAGCTAACTCTTTGGAGACTAGAACTGACAAACAAGCTTATTTTCTATAGGCATTCTTAGGGATCAGTCAGGAGGTGTCCTGTAAAACACCATTCCAAAGGGAAAGGTACTTCTCAGATTTTGATAGCTTTTATCAGAGAAACATGTGAAATATGGGTAGATGTAGAAGCCAGAAACTGGTCAGGAGAAACAGCCATGGAAATGATGTTTTATAACATGAAAGCAAACTTGAACAAATAATTTTATCATTTCAGAATGACTAACACTTCTGTCTGAAAAAAAAAAAAAAAGATTGTCTTAACTTTCCCAAGAGATAATTTAGCAGAGAGTTTTTGTTTTGAAAGCTACAGCTGTTTCATAGTAATAGCTGAAATGAGATTGCTGTTCAGATCCGTGATCCTCTGCCCTGGGGTGGTTAAACTGCCTGCCTTAGCATAGCTTTCTTCATAAAGCAGTGAGTCATGTTCTTGTTGGTTTGTTTTTTTTTAATTACAAACTTTAAAATTTCCTTTATTTCAACTCTTTGGAATATATTATCACCAGTGACTATTACCTTGAAAGTATTATTAATCAGGCATAAAAGTAGTAGTTGTTTTTTTTTAAATGACCCTCTGTGTGTTCTATAATTATTATAATTTGTTCAGTCAATCAGATCATTAAAGATATTGAGCATTCCCTTAGAACTCCTTTGATGATTCATATCATGCCTTTAGCCATGTCTTCTATTGTTACCACAAATATTTTTATTTTTCTGTGTGTCTGGGTTCCCTTGTAAGCTAGTTGAAGGCTAAGTCTTGCTTTATCTCTTAGTTCCTAGAATATTGGCACTCACTAGGTAGTTTTTATTTTTTTATCCTGTTGTGTTAAATCACACCATTCCATCCAGGCAATTTGATTTTTCATTGGCAGGGAGATATAATAAATACTCCAGGAACTTGCCACAAACTCCTTGGATAATTGATGGAGAAAGGAAGCTGGAGTCTTCAGTGGAAGAATTAATTTCAGATCATCTTTTAAAAGTATTCAAAGCAGAGAGTAAGTGTTGTAATATTTATATATTAAATACATATCATTCGTAAATAGATTTCTTGGAGGTAGCCAGAAAGATTTTACAAACACTGTCAAGTTTGGGACTCTGACCTGGCAGTGTCCCATGAATAGGGATTTCTGAGTCCTGTGTTCTTCTGACCTGAGTTGGATTTGAGCCAAAGGACCCAAGGATTTGTTTCATCTCAAAATAACTGCTCTTTCTTGAGCAAATTCAAAACAATTGAAACTACTTTCAGTGAATGCACTAAAGTTTTGAGCTTGGGACACCTTACCCTTGACCTCTTTTTTTCAAGGGAATATGAGGAAATTCAAATACCATATCCACATCCAGTGCATGTTTAAGAATAATCATTGGCAAATGCCTGCCTTCCATTTTAACTACTAAGCCTTAACTGGAATAAAGTTCAGGCTTAGAGAAAATAGATCAGCAGTTATTACTTTAAGAGACTTAATGGTAGTTTTCTTATGTTTTGATTTCCTAGGTATGAATGAGCCTAGGTTTGTAGGATGAGTCAGATCCTGTCAAGCTTGGTTTTTCTCAATAGGCCTGTTAGGTCAAAGGCAGAAGAAAACCTGTGATTTCATGGAGGAAAGGGACTAAGATTTCAATGTCAAGATATCATGCTAAGTATCAAGAAAAACTGTAGGCAGTGAGTAAATATATTATTATTTGGAGTGGATCTCCCAGCATAACTAGAGTATTTTTTTTTTTGAGAGACAATCTAGATAGCTGTTTTTCTTTATGGAAAACCGTAAGACAAGTCTACTTTAGGAATGACAGATATATTATTGACATGAGATATGGTTGTCCCTTCCAGTTCTCTGACTTGTCAAGAGGAAAATGAAGTACTTCAAACCACATCCTTCATAATTTATTGCCTGTTAGGTAGGTGACCCTTTATTAAGGGTCTTTAAGAATTATTTACTGAATGGAGATGAAAGTAACTTAGCAACTTAATGTTTTCCAAAATCTTAGCAGTGAGGACTCTGGGCTATTGTCATGAGCGTTTACCTACTTAATTTAATATTTATACACTCGTTATCTCGTAAGAGTTATCCAGGGCCTCCCTAGTTACGCAGGGGTTAAAGACACAGACTATCAAGCTATCTATAGCCACTGTAGCACGAGTTCAATCCCTGGCCAGGGAGCTACCCACATGGCACAGCAGACCGTTCCTGTCTCACTCGCTGCTCCCTTCAGCAGTGTATTTCAGTTAATCCACCTCTTCTGTTCCCCACTCTTTTTCTGGTGAATCCTCTCACCACCCCTTCCCCCCACACACTTCTGGCCTGTACCCCAGCTCTTGTTGTTTTTTTTTTTTTAATTTTATTTATTTATTTATACAAGTACTGGGTACAGTCAGATGTGCGGGAGGGTGAGAGAATCCACCAGAGCCAGAGCGGGGAGCAGAGCAGGCAGAAGGACCGAAGTACACTGCTGAGGGGAGCAGCGGGCGGCAGGAGAGGTCTGCGCGCCATGTGGGACCCTCGCCGTTGGCCGGGGATTGAACCGGCACTGCAGAGGCTGCAGGCAGCTTCCCAGCCCAGCGCTCAACCGCTGCGCCACCAGGGGAGGCCCTGTACCCCAGCTCTTGTATGCATGAATAAATAAATCTTAATAAAAAAGTTATCCAAACTATGAAGAACTGAGAATAAAACTTCAGCACAAAAATGTCTCTTTCAAACTCTTTTTGGGACCTCCTTCCTCTCTTTCTGTAAGAAAATTCAAGAAATTTCAGTTCTGATTATTTGGACCCCAAGAAAGCTCCCGTTACCATTAGGGATGCTTGGGGACTCTGAAACAACTTCCTAGGTGAACTCTTCATTTAGCTATGGGTGCCATCCTAACACAACACTACTCCTGAGTTAGTGGACTCTAAAGATCCTGATATTGTAGGTTTACTAGCAGCTTGACCATGGAGTGTAAACAAGGGTCCTTTGAAACTTATTGTTCCACAGATTCCTACTCTCTGCCTAGCCTAGATTCTCCACCTGGAGAAGATCTTGACCTTGTGCCCTTCCCAGCTGCTGGCTTGGCCAGTCCTTGATGTTAATGTAGCACTTCTGATCCTAACTAGAATTCCAGGTTGCCTTGGATATCTAGCCCTTACCTACCCAGCCCAGGGTTGCTTCTCTTTGTAAGACCCACAGCTTTGGGCCTTGTGACTCAGAGAGGAGCCCACTTTACCCTCAGAGCTCACGATAGCCTACTGTCAGGTGTTGACCTTGGCTTGCAAGAGGATTTCTTAAAGGTGAAGGGAGAAACAAATCCTACTTTCTTCACAGCTCAGCAACCTAGAAAGGAGGGCTAATCTTCAGTGCTGTTTTCATGGGATTTTTCAAACCTTTTAGCAGTCCTTCTTCTAAAGTCTGCATTGCATGTAGAGTTTTTCCTGGGGGCCACCCCGGTGGCGCAGCGGATTGAGTGCTGTGCTGTGAAGCTGTCCGCAGCCTCGGCAGTGCAGGTTCGATCCCGTCGGCCAGTGAGAATCCCACATGGTGCCCCAGACCTCTCCTGCCGCGCCCGCTTCTCCCCTCAGCAGTGCATTTCTGTCATCTGTCTGTTCTGCTCCCTGCTCTGTCTCTGGTGAATCCTGTCACCCTCCCACGCCTCTGGCCTGTACACCAGCTCTAGTATAAAAAATAAATAAATATTTTTTTTTTTTTAAAAGAGTTTTTCCTGGGGGAAATATGGCAGTCAAAATGGCTCACACCCTCTTTTTCTCCTCCCTTTCCCCTTTGTTCTTCCAAGCAATCTTGTTCTTCCTCATTTTATGCTAGCCAACGTGGCTGGACTATTGAGGAATAAATGCCAGTCTCGTGACTCGTGTTGCAGTTGTGCTTTTTGTGCAGGAATGTTCTGTGCTTTCCCCATCTTAGCCTTACCCACTATATTATAATCCCTACCACTCCGTAGTCAGCTTTGTGAGGATAAAAACTGTGTCCATCCTGTTTGCTTTTGTCTCCCCAGCATCTAGCACAGTGCCTTGTACACACATCCTGTCGTATTTGTTCTTGAAGGAGGTGGTGAGCCTGAGTTCTAACCCTCAACCTCTGTGTTCAGAGACCTCGAACTTTACCACTCTAATGACTGACCAGGATTCCCTAAACATCTCAGCCCTTCCCAGTCCCTGGTCCAAAAAGACTGGTCTTGCTTGTCCCTGTGGGCACAAGTGTGAGCTCCTCTGGCTATGTCTCTGTGGTGTGGCATAGCTGTGGTCAAGAGGCGCTGGAGCCGGACTGCTCAGTTCAAATCCTGACCCTACTACTTAGCACTGATGTGACCTTGGGCAAGTTACTTATCCTGTTTCTGTCATACCTTCCTTATAAGTACAATGGGACTAATGATAATATGTACTTCATAGTGTTATCATAAAGCATTGATGCCTCCTCATGGTAATGTTTGTTGTAATGATGATGGTGAAATTATCTGTCAGTTTTGTGTCAATGAAAGTTGTCAGGTAATACACATAAGCCCTTTAAAAAGCTCCACAACATTTCCCCCTTCTAATATTTGCAACTTTTAGTATCTGATGATCCAATGTGCACTGACTTTGTCATGTCCCAGCCTAGGTTTGCTTGTATTATGGATTTGCTTTTGGAGTCAAACTTTTATTTTCTCCTCTTATTTTCATCGGGTTTAATTCTCAAATAAATATTCTTGCTTTGTTTTGTTTTAATAGCAAAAAGAGAGAAGACAACAGATTTATCACCGTAAGCCTGTGGCCAGAGAAGTGGGGGTCTCTGGCTTTCCCGAGTGCTAGGGGCTGGGCGGGTAATTAAAGCCTGGCTTTGGTATCAGAAGCACTTATCTCTGCCATTTAGTCATGTGTCCTGGGGAAAGTACTTCACATATCAGAAGTGTTTGGTATCTTTTATTTAATGCCTACTTCCTGAAGTAATAATGATTAAATGAAATCGTATTTATGTGGATTGTTCAACGCAAATCAGATTTCTGCTCAGGGGTGGGTGTAAATGTCATAGGGCTATTACGTCTCTGATTTTTTCCCTCTTTGTCTGCTTCCCAAAGGTTTTAATTTTTCATCCTCTGGAAGAGAAGATGTAGATGTGAGAACATTAGGAAATGGTAAGACTGCACTAGCATTACTTGATTGGAACTAACTTTCAGATTATTACCCTTTTGAAAAAGACAGATTTATTATAGTCAGACAAATCCCAAAGTGGAAAGAGCTCAGAGCTTCTCCAAATAAAGAAGCTTTGTGGATTATGGAGCCACCTTTATAAATAATACGATTACATTTTGACAGAAATCATTTCTTCAGGGACCATCTTGTTGCATGTCTGTAGATTATAAGAAATTATTTCTGTGCCTTAACCAGGTGATACCTGTTTTCTTCCCCAAAAGCTTGATGATTAATTGTCCCATTTTGTACATTTTTTCAACATACATCTTCATTTTAAAAATGATTCTGTTCTCTTAATCTTCATTTCTCTCATTTTACATTGTTTCATTACAAGAAAAATGATGAGAGTTAGTCCTGAGCTATTTGATTTATAGTCCTTTCCTCTCATGGAATCACAGCCTTTCCATTTCAGTAGTTGATTAGGTTAGGATGGATTTCAACATAGTATACCTGGGCATTGCTGCATGGGACAATGTTACATTAGTGTTACCAAGACAGTTAGTGTTTGGATTTTATTTTGTAATTAACACAGGCTTGTTCATGGACCTCCGGGAAAGCAGTCATTTTCACATACTGCCTATACTGGGGTTTAGCAGCCCTTCAAAAGCCCCTTGATTCTTTTCACACATTATTCCCTCCCCCAGACGTAGTCATGTCACTAAATTTTCAGCCCTCTAGAGTTCAACTCATTTTTCACACCTCCTAACCCTCTTGCATTAGCTCAAATGTTAACTCCATCAACACGTTTCTGTTTCATGACGGGGTGTGTGCTGCCAGGAAGGCCCTTTGCAATTGAGCTGGTGAATCCTCATAGAGTACATTTCACTTCACAAGAAATTAAGGAACTTCAGCAGGTAAACCACTTCATGACATGGAAATCGTCATGTTTCTGCAACTCTGTAGCTGAACTAGAGTTACTAATTGTTTTTCTTTTTCTGCTACTACAGAAAATTAATAACTCCTCTAACAAAATCCAAGTCCGTGATTTGCAGCTTGTTACAAGGTAATTGTAGGCTCACTGGAGATGATTTCAAGAAGGAAATTTATATTTCGTAAGGGAATTGTATCTAGGATATATAAAGACCAGTCACACTCAATAATAAAAAAACAACCAAATTAGAAATTCATCTTTAAAGAAATGGTAACCAATGAATACATGAAAAAATAATACTCAAGGATCATTAGTCATTAGAAAAATACAAATCAAAGTGACTTCACAGTTACTAGGATGGGTATAATCAAAAATACAGAAAATAACAATGGTTGGCAAGGATGTGGAGAAATTGGAAATATACATTACTGGTTGGATTAAAAGTGTGCCACTTTGGGGGCCTCCCTGGTAGAGCAGAGGTTAAAGACACAGCACTATCAAGCTATCACCAGCCACTGTAGCACGAGTTCAATCCCTGGCTAGCCAGGGAGCTGACCCACTTGGCGCAACAGACCTCTCCTGCTCGCCCACTGCTCCCTTTAGCAGTCTATTTCAGTACATCTGCTTGTTCTGCTCCCCACTCTTTCTGGTGGATCTTCTTACTTCCTGCACCTCTGGCTTACATCCCAGTTCTTGTATGTATAAATAAATAAATCTTTAAAAAAAAAAAAGTGTGGCACTTTGGAAAACAGCTTGGTAGTTTCTTTTTCTTTCTTTTTTTTTTTTAAGATATATATATATATATATATATTTAAAGATTTATTTATGTGTACAAGAACTGGGGTACAGGCCAGAAGTGTGGAGGTGTGTGAGAGGATTAACTAGAGACAGAGTGGGGAGCAAAACAGGCAGATTTACTGAAATACACTGCTGAGGGTAGCAGCTGGCGAGTCAGGAGAGGTCTGCTGTGCCATGTGGGTAGCTCCCTGGCTGGCTGGGGATTGAACTCGTGCTGCAGAATGCTGCAGATAGCTTCACAGTGCTGTGCTTAATCCTTTGTGCCACTAGGGAGGCCCAGCTTGGTAGTTTCTTAAAAGGTTAAATAAATAAAATAAATAAAATAAATAAATTAAATAAAATAAATTAAAAAAAAAAGGTTTAAATCTAGAATTACTGTATGACCCAGCAGTTCTACTTCTAGATTTATACCCAACAAAAATGAAAATGTATGTCCACACAAGACTTCTATATGAATGTTCACAGTATTATTCACAATAGCTGAAAGATAGAAACTACCCAGATGTCTGTGAATAAACAAAATGTGGATTATCTGTACAATGACAAATTATTCAGTAATAAAAAGGAATGAAATGCTGATATATGCCACAACATGGATAAACCTTGACAGCATTATGAAAGATGCCAGATACCAAATAACACATACTATATGATTACATTTTTTATGAAATGTTTAGAGTGGGAAAATCTGTGGAGACAGAAAGTTGATTAGTTGTTGCAAAGGGATGAAGTGAGGGATAGGGAATGACTACAAATAAGTACAGAGGTGGGGTGATAAAAGTATTCTAAAACTAGATCGTGGTGATACCTGCACATTTCTGTAAATATACTAAAATTCAGTGAATTTTACAGTTAAAATGGGAATTAGATGTAAATTATATTTCAACAGAGTTGTTTTGAAGAAAGAAGTTTAGGGCAAGGCTTGTGTGTGCTTCATATATTCAGACTAACTTTCTTTTGTTTTTGTTTAGAGAGGCAATAGGACATATGAAAGAAGGTGAAGAAGAAAAGACCAAGACATACAGTGCCTTAATATGGACAAATAAAGCAATACAGAAGAAAGACATTGAATTCCTGAATGACATAAAGGTAGTTTAAATACTCTAATTCTTTTTTTTTTTTTAAAGATTTATTTATTTATTTATACAAGCACTGGGTACAGTCAGAAGCGCAGGAGGGTGAGAGAATTCACCAGAGCCAGAGCGGGGAAACAGAACAGGCAGACTGATGAAATACACTGCTGAATGGAGCAGCAGGCCGCAGGAGAGGTCTGCACGCCATATGGGACCCTCCCTGGGGGCCGGGGATCAAACCGGCACTGCAGAGGCTGCAGGCAGCTTCGCAGCCCAGTGCTCAACTGCTGCACCACCAGGGGAGGCCCTAAATACTCTAATTCTTTTACTTTTATTCTTCTATTGTTTATAAAACAATAGCTTTATAGCTTTTGTCTTCCAGTCTTTTGTCTTCTAGTTTGTTACCAACAAGTCAAGGAGAATGGGCTCTGGGACTGTAAGACAAAGCCTGGCTCTGTCATTATTGATGGATAACTGGGCAATTCATCTCATCTGCCTGACAGGCAGTGTTGCTAGTGGTTAAGAGCTTGACTCTGAGAACAGGCTCTGCGTAAAAATGCTGGATCTGCATTTCTTAGTTGTGTGACTTTGGACAAAAATTTACTTAGCCTCTTTATGCTTTAATTTCTTCATCTGTAAAATTAGTTAAAAGAATTAAGTGAGTTTAATCATATAAAGCACTTAGAACAGTTTTTGGCACATAAAATACAGTCATCAGGGGCCTCCCTGGTGGCCTGGAGGTTAAGTATCAGCGTTATCGTTGCTACGGCCTGAATTCGATCCCAGGCCAAGGAGCTAACCCACATGGCGCAGCAGACCTTTCATGTCTTGCCTGCTGCTCCCCTTAGCAGTTATTTCCATATCTGCTTGTTTTGCTCCCCGCTCTGTCTCTGGTGAATCCTCTCATCCCGCCCCCCTCTACCGCATCTCTCGCCTACACCCCAGCTCTTATATGCATAAATAAATAAAAATAAATCTTAAAAAAATGAATCTTAAGAAAAAACATTCATCAATGCTATTATCATAATTGGTCATCTTTATAAAGGAAATACAAAATAAAACTTACAGAGTTGATGCTAAGATCAAGTTCATAAATAAAACATGTTATAAGTAAAAAGAACAAAATAATATATATGCTGCACATAGGTTTTTGGCACATGCTAGGTTTCCTTCACATTAACATGTCACTCTCAAGGCTCTACCTGTTTATTTGCATATATCTTCCTATCTGCTCCACTTCTTCCAGTAAAGATAATTTACTTTCAAATACAAGGAATGAGCATAGTGGGCACAAAGATGTATATAGTTATTACAACATTGTTTAAATGGCCAATATTTGGTAATAATGTAGCTGGCCAATGACAGGGACTGGTTAATGTTATGGCTTATTTGTTTGATGGACTAGTACTGACCAGCTGTTAGAAATTCTGTGATGAATATTTATTGACAAAGGAAAATGTATCTGATAAATGCTAAGGGGGAATGAATAAGCTATATATGAATAAGCTATGACACATCGTGATGTAAACATTCACACACTATATATTCACACACCTGCACCCACATGCACACATGACTACATATAAAACAAATCTTATGGCAAAAGATACCATAAGTTGAGGATTTGCATATGAAAAGTATAAATACCCAATAAAGAAAAACAAACAAAAGATATGACCAGGAAGCTGAAAAAAGAGCAACTCCAAATAGCCAAGACTCATTTGAAAGTTGTTCCACCTCCATGCTGAAGTAACAGTGAGAAATCACTTTGTTCCTCTTGGACTCAGAACACCTATTGGTTGGAGTTGAGAAGGCTAGTTGCATACATTGTTAGCAGAAATTTAAAGTGTTTTATCCTTTTTGAAATATTGAGCCATGACTATAAAAAAAAAAAATACCCTGGACTTCTTCCCAGAACTCTCACTGCTGGCAGTCCTGTAGAAATAAGATTCCAGTGTGGAAGGATATGTGCACAGATGCTTATTGACTTTGTGCTAAGTGACAAAAGCAACAAGAAGATTTGAAACAAAGTGAATTTCCTTCAATAAGAAAGTGGTAGAATAAATTGGAATATTCTACAGCTATTTAAAATTAAGGCTAAAGCACATGTTATCCCTTTGAATTAGTGTGTGTTTGTTAGGAAAAAAGGTAGAGGAGGTAGGTTTATATCTATTGAAGGAACACTCATAACATGAGGAAAAAAATCAAAGTGTAGAACAATGTTGGTAATGTTAGTGTTTTAGTGAAAATATACGAGATATATGTATTCCTACTGAGGGAGGTTCTCCACAATGAGGGAATGGACTCGATCTCTCCAGTGGTCCTTCAGTTCTCAGTTCTGTGGTATATAGCTAAAGGCCTTTGGGGTTTGGCCCTTCTATCCAAGTCCTTTAGTATGGTTAGTCAGACTTCAGACAGCTGTCTTTAAGATTACAAAACAGGGCCTCCCTGGTGGTGCAGGGGTTAAACACAGCACTATCAAGCTACTGCCAGCCACCACAGCAAGAGTTCGATCCCCAGCTGGCCAGGGAGCAACCCACATGGTACAGCAGACCTCTCCTGTCTCCCCTGCTGCTCCCCTCAGCAGTGTATTTCAGTTGATCCACCTGTTCTGCTCCCCACTTTGTCTCTAGTGAAGCCTCTCAACCTCCCCACCTCTGGCCTATATCCTAACCCTTGAATCCATAAATAAATGAAATAAATCTTAAAAAAAAATAAATAGATGCGTAATCTGGGGGCAGCCATTAAAGAGCTAATCAGAAGTAATGTCGAAAGATGATTTTTTAAAATTATTTTTAAAGATGTATTTTTTTTTAAAGATTTATTTATTTATTTATACAAGCACTGGGTACAGTCAGAAGCGTGGGAGGGTGAGAGAATTCACCAGAGCGGGGAACAGAACAGGCAGACTAACAAAGTACACTGCTGAGGGGAGCAGTGGGCGAGACAGCAGAGGTCTGCTGTGTCATATGTGGATTAGCTACCTGGCCAGGTATTGCACTCAGGCCTCATTGGTAATAGCATGATAGCACAGAGACTTTACCCGTATGCCACCAGGGAGGACCCGAGGATGGGAGTCTTTTAGTGGTTTACAGCCCAAGTGAGACTAGTTGAAGTGAGACACGTTCACTTCCAATAATTTTCTTAACTGTTAGGGTTAGAACAGTTTTCAAGTATTCCTTTTGGCATCAAAAATATAAAAACTGAGTTACTGCCCCATACTGAGAACAAGCCACTTCAAATTTACTACTTGTTTCCTCTTTTTAAAGAGGAACCTACTTCTAAGAAGAAGAAAAAAATCACTTGTGTGTTATATGTGTTTCTGAAAACACATTAGTCCCCAGCAGTATGGGGTAAGAGTGCTATGTTAGAGAAAATGAAGTGATTTCCTTTTGTGTGCTGAAGTCAAGCAGACCAAAACAAATAAACAAAACCCAAAACAAAACACTCAAGCATGTGCTGACCTCGGTGTTAAGTTGGAAGCCGTGCTGGGTCTTGTAGCTGGGTTAGTGTTTCCATGGACTGACTCGTGGGTCAGAGTCAAGTCTCCTAGGTACAGTGGAAGGTAAAGGAAACAGAGCTGAGGAACATTCCTTAGCCACTCATTTAAGGGCTGACAGTTTCTGGACTCTAAAATAAAAGCCGCATCTTTAAAGATTCCTTAATAGTTCAGCCTTGTCCTCTTTTTTTTTTTTAAGACTTTTTGGGCGAGAAAAATGTCAAATCTTAGGGAGACAGCTTATCTCATCAGAATAAAGTGCTTTTCTAAAATCAAAGAATTAAAGAACATAAAAACCCATGAGTCAGGAGGGGCCACTGACTCTCTGCTTTGATAAAGCAGTTGCATCCGTTCATTCAAGTGTAGTCTTTGTCAGAACTTGCTCTCAGACAACTTGATAGAGGGAGGCCAGACAGAAACCTTTCTTCACTAAGCAGCGCTTCAGGTGTTCACTAATCATGTAAATTAAGGAGTTGTTCCAACAAGAAATTACAGAGGATTCAAAGTTCTTATGAACCTACATTTCTGGTAATGCCTTGTATCTATTTTTGAAACTTGGAATCAATGAGCTTTTTGCAATATTAACCTCTGTTTCTTAATTTATATCTTGTGACATAAAAGGAAATCTCTTAATAGTAAGAAAAACAAGCCTGTGCCTCTAAAGTCTGAATTATAAAAAGACATGCAGTGTTATTATTCTCAAGTACTTTGAACTAGGCTAACAAATACCGAGAGGTACTGGTTTATTGTACACATTTATTTTGTAACTGTTATGTTGAAACATCACCCTAAAACATGCAAATTGCCCATACACACAAGTAATGCTGATGTTCCACCTTCTACAACCAGTCATTTGTCACCTCAGCCTGAAATCCCCACATTTAGGTCACTCTGTTGACTTAGGGGATAAAAAAATAAGGACATGCCTTCTAGAAGAACTCTGTTGAAGGCAGGATACAAATCCAGGGTCTGAACAGTTATAACAAAGAGAACTTGGGTACCATTTACTTCAAAGTTATTTTTTTTTTAATGGTCTATTGGAAGCCCCAGAAAATGAGCAATTATGGTCAAGGTTATGAAGAATCCCAGAGTTTGAACCTCCAGTGGTATATGGAGCCCTAAGGAAATCTGGTGAGCCGTGGATAACAAAGGAGGTGCTAACACAGGCTTCACTGGGCAGCAAAGCTGACTCCATTGTTGTGTATCATATCCTCCTCTAGGACTTAAAGATCAACCAGAAAACACCTCTACGGGTTCTTCACCGGAGACCCCTGGCTGTGAGAACTCGAGTCATTCACTCCATGGATACTTGCTACGTGGATGAGCATCACTTCCGCCTCCATCTGAAGACTCAAGCTGGAACGTATCCTTTTGACCTTCTGCATAGCAGTAACCTACCTACCAAAACTCTCTGGGAAGAGTTCATGTTACCCTCAAAAATAGGGTCAACTGGATCTGGGAGGGAATAAGGAAAAGATTAGGCTGGAGATGAATCCATTTTGCTGTTGTTTTGGGGTGTTTTTTTTTCCCACTAGTTTTTCCAAGTGACATTTTAAATCACAAGGAAGGAAACAGCAATTTCAGTATGTACTTAGGTTTCTTGTAATTACAGTGTCTCACACAATGTTGAGCGTGTTTTCAGTACTCAAACACTTTTGATTGATTCATTTTCTGTCTTTACACATTTTGCAAGTCACATATTCCTGACCATGTTTGGATTCTCTCAGAATGTTTGAACATTTGCCCCAGATGATTAAACACTGATAGTAGATGGGAGTGGCCCTACTTTACATACCCATCTTCATTTGGCCACTGGCCCAGAACAATAGAGAATAGTCCAAGGCAGATCACTTGCCCATAACCTACCCTGACTTGTGTGGTTTTGTATTCGAACTGCGTTACTGGGTAGAATTGATCAGGGAGCTACTAGTCTGAGCTTTAATTTACTTTTCAAAGGTGCTGCTAGTTTTCATTTGTTGATTTTATAGTGTGGTTTCAATCGCCTGACGTGATAAAATACTTTCTAACTAGTTATACAACTAATGATATACACATGGATGTAGGGGGGGAAATGTCATTTTAATCACCAAGTAGCATTCACACCATATTGCTGTAATTAGTTTGCCTCTCCTACCCACTGACCTCCTCCCACCTCTTCCAACCCTGTCCCAATCTAAGAGTGACCAGGATTTACTCAACTGAAATATGTACAATATGTACAGGTTATTTTTTTTAAAGATTTATTTATTTATGCATACAAGAACTGGGGTACAGGCCAGAGGTGTGGGGGCAGGGGGGAGTGAGAGGACTCACCAGAGACAGAGTGGGAACAGAACAGGCAGACTCACTGAAATACAGTGCTGAGGGGAGCAGCCGATGAGACAGGAGAGGTCTGCTGTGCCATGTGGGTAGCTCCCTGGCCGGGGATCAAACTTGTGGGGCAGTGGCTGCCGATAGCTTTATAGGTTGTGTCTTAACTCCTTGCGCCACCAGGGAGGCCCTGTATGGGTTATTACCTTCTAAAATTTTCTTAATGTTTTGCAGTTTGGATCAAGGAATGACCTATTTAGACCCCAGTGAACATATTTTTATCCTTGTTCTTTGGAGCACATTTACCTATTGTAGGTGGAATGTGGCTGGAATTTCAAAGAAACCAGTTTAAAAAAACTTTTTACCTAATCCTAATTTTAGTTTTTGATGTACCTGGGAGAAAAGTGGTGTAATGCCTTTTCAGTCTCGTTGAAATGTATTCAGAACCAACCGTGTACATATACTCAAAATTCAAAAAAACTATCTGGCAAAGCCTTAGCTCCCATATGGTAATATATAAAGGTGTATGATTTTTTTATCATATATTGTTCTGTGTACTGAATCAGTTCATTTGACAATCACCTCACCCCTCTGGCTATGAATAAGAACTGTTCTGAACATTTTTAACTGGTTATTCTGGGGGATTTCTGGTCACCTCTCCCTATCATTGCTATTCAGATGGAGCATTCCCTAAAGAAAGTTGAGAGAATGATGACAGTTGTTGAGTAATTATGCAAAGTAATTAGCAAAGAAGACAGTTACTAGATAATTACGCATCTTATGCCTGAGTGAAAACATTTGATGCAGGCAGAGTGAATACATTTTAGGAAAGCGAGGAGTACTTAATATTGGCACTTATAGTGTTAACTTTTTGCATCTGAGAATAAACTTATTTTTTGTATTCAAAATGATTTATTAAAAAAACATGCTGCTGAATGAGTTTTTACTAAATGCTGATAAGCATGGTGAATGAAGGTAGCAGAATCCCTGTATAAGGAATGTTCATATTATCTTGTTAGTGACCTATTCTACCATTAGTCATTGGCTGTAAATTTTTGGGACCTATGTGGGAAGAGAGAGATTTGACTCTTTTGCTAACCATGTTTGCAAATAACTAGAATATAGATCCTTTGATAATCCTTCTGAAGGGCCTTCATCAAGACTAAATGACCCTTCCATCCTATTGCTGTTGTGTCACTGAGTCATATCACAAGGAAAGTTATCATTAGGGTCACTGTGTATAGCCCTGTGGAAACCCATCATCTGGGAGATGCCAGGTGCCATAATTAAACATGGAACCCAGAAAGGTGACAAAATAGAAATGTAGCAAGAAAGAAAATAGTAGAGGGGTGGGTGTTGTTTAGTGTTGAACTACAACTAATTTTAAAAATCAATACCCAAATCTTGGGACTTGGAAATGAGCTGAAGAAGAAATCCATGATTCTGGTTAAGTTTGATGTAACCACAGGTCCCAGGTCCTGATATTGGCTATTAGGCTGGGAAGAGCCAGTGTGTCATAGCTTATTTTCTAACACACACATATCACAAATCACAGCTCAGAAATCACCTTTTTTTTTTTTAACAATGGCTTTTGTTTGCTATTTCCCTTTCCTCTATTAAATCTCTCTGAACAGTTGGCTGTCTTCTTATTTTCCTTAAACCAATCTCAGCTACATTAAAGAGTTTGTACATGGAGACTTTGGAAGAACCAAGCCAAACATTGGCGCTCTGATGAATGTGACTGCAGACATTCTTGAGCTGGATGTGGAGGTAAACCTTTTTATTATACTCTTTGCACAGTAAATTCAACCAAGCTTTTGCTTTTTTGGCATTATGCTAAATAATACCCCTCACCTTAGTAAGTATTTGAAGATGGTCAAAATCTCACAATAGCATTGTATTGCAGGGAGAGACTGTCTTCAGATTTTTTTCTCTTAAAAAATGCAAGGTCTCGGGCCTCCCCGGTGGCGCAGCGGTTGAGCACTGGGTTGCGAAGCTGCCCACAGCCTCTGCAGCGCCGGTTCGATCCCCGGCTGCTCCCCGGCCACCGGAGGAGGGTCCCACATGGCGCGCAGACCTCTCCTGCCGCCCACTGCTCCCCTCAGCAACGTACTTCAGTCCTTCTGCCTGCTCTGCTCCCCGCTCTGGCGAATTCTCTCACCCTCCCGCGCTTCTGACTGTGCCCAGCACATGTATAAACAAACAAACAAATAAATAAATAAAACATGCCTCTTAAAAAAAAAAAATGCAAGGTCTCACTTATGATTCTTGGGAATATGTAGCTAATTTACTAAATATGCTTTACATGTGGCATGAGCCATACCTAAGCCCTTAAACCAAACAAGGAAATGGGCTTTCCTTCATATGTCCTTTGGACTTTATAGAGTTTATTCTCATACCTATTTTGTTTTATAAAGAACGTAAGGTGGGCTTCTCAGAAATGTATTCAGGACTGGCATAGAAAATGGGATAAGTCAATGGTTATTAATAAAAGTAGTTCTATAAGGAACTCCCTATAGAAGTGGTCCAAATTCTCTGCTTTTGTAGTCTGATTTGAAAGTTGTAACTTCTTAAATAATCAGAAGAATATATAGACACATCTGGCAATTTTCCATAAATATTTTTCACATTTGGGCATTCGTAGGTATTGTCACAAGTTGTGCTCCTTAATTCAGTGTAGGAGCAGAGTTCTGCAACTCTACGCCCACTCTCATCTCTGCAAAAAACAAACAAAAACCTTCACGAGAGGCTAGTGTTTTGCACTTGGTAATAAGTATCAGTTCTAAAAAAGAAGTGGGTATAGTAGCAATCAAATGATCACCTTACCACCAAGCCTCTAGAGTACTTTCAGATTTGATTTTATATAACCCTGGTGGGACAGTCAGTGATAGTACTTTCTAGGTTACAGGGGACCTTCTCAGTGAGACTTATTTTGAAAATACAACCTTCTGTGAAATAAAAGAAAATCCCCAAAGCATTCATCTTCTTTGACTGTAATTCTTACAACAGCTTAGGAGTACTGAAGACATAGGCCAGTGTTTCTCAGCCCTGATTGTCCCTTGCAATCACCTGTGGAGGTTTTTTTTTTTTTTTTTTTTTTTAAGATTTATTTATTTATTTATACAAGCACTGGGTGCAGTCAGAAGCGCGGGAGGGTGAGAGAATTCACCAGAGCCAGAGCAGGGAGCAGAGCAGGCAGAAGGACCGAAGTACACTGCTGAGCAGCGGGCGACAGGAGAGGTCTGCATGTCATGTGGGACCCTCCTCCGGTGGCCAGGGAGCAGCCGGGGATCGAACCGGCACTGCAGAGCCTGTGGGCAGCTTCGCAACCCAGTGCTCAACCTCTGCGCCACCAGGGAGGCCCTGTGGAGTTTTTTTCAAAGGTTATTTGAAGAACTGGGGTACAGGCCAGAGGTGCTGGGGGTTAAGAAGATTCAACAGAGACAGATGGGGAGCAGAAGAGGCAGAGTGACTGAAATATACTGCTGAGGGGAGCGGCGGGTGAGACAAAACATGCTGCAACATGTTGGTCACCTACCTGGCCGGGGATGGAACTGGTGCCACAGTAGGTGCGGACGGCTTCATAGTGCTGCGTGTTAACTCCTTGCGCCACTAGGGAGGCCCCACCTGTTTCTAAACTGTAACATGCCTACCCTCCCCTGCCCTCATAACATACACAAGACTGTGACCAATATTTTCAGGCTTGAGAAACCACCAGTTTACTTAGATATGGGTGTTTAGTATATGGCTATCTTTCAAAAAAGAACTATTTTGTAAAAGACACAAACATATGCAATAATTTCTTAGGCTTTTCTAATGAAATTTTTCTGAGTCTGGTATGTAAAGGGATTCAGATTAATTTCATTAACTTTTAAAAAATATTAGAAAAAAACTATTTAAAAAATAATTTTAGGTTTTAAAAACAAGTCTCAAAAATCATGGAACAAATGGATTTCTTTTTAAAAACTTCTCCTAAATCAGACCCTCTAGGGTAGTTAAGACCAGGTGTAATTTCATACTTCTAAGACCTGGAACATGATTGTTTATGTGGGGACAAAATAGCCTGTTATTGTTATTTTGTTATGACTTGAAGATCAGGGTTTTGTTCTAGAAGAGCCAAACCAGGCTGAGTATACGTAAATTCAATTTTAAAAGAACAAAAGTTCTGTATGATAAACAAAGATCCTTAATCCTTTTCTATTTCCAGGTGTTTTTTTTTTTTTTTTAAGATTTATTTATTTACATAAGAACCGGGGTACAGGCCAGAGATGTGGGAGGGTGAGAGGATTCACCAGACACGGGGGAACAGAACAGGCAGACTGACGGAAATACACTGCTGAGGGGAGCAGCGGGCGAGACAGGAGAGGTCTGCCGACAGGCTAGCAGCCTCGCAGCACTGTGAGCACTGCTGCCTGCACCACCAGAAAGGCCCCCAAGTGTTCTTTCATATTCATTTATTTTACATTTAGTTGTTAAGTTACAAATAAGACTAAGTTTATAGTCTACTGGAGTACCCATTAAATCCAAGTGAGAAAATGAAAATGATCAGAGAATAAAAGTTGCTGAGACTTCTGAGGGAGAATTAGTGTTGCTATGTGAATTTGTTTACTATTTTACCTATCTGAGTAACCAAATACTCAATGAATTCAGGAATAGGCCTTGGGCCCAAGACTCCCAAGTCCTAGAATGGATTTTAGATTTGAATTATGGTATTTAATGGCTCATTTATTCAAACGCAGTTACTTCTTTTACATTATAGTAAAACTATTAAAGATATACTGTATTTCCAGTAAATGCTTACTAAAACAGTATATGTTTTAATGACTTGCTTTCTTCCTTGTAGTCTGTAGATGTTGACTGGCCCCCTGCTCTGGAAGACTAGCTTTCAAACTGGGAAACAAAGGTTTTCCTGGCCCGCTGTGGAAGTCCATTTAGCATACACTGTAAAAATGGCTGTTTACCCACCATAAGGGTGTCTTGGTAATTACTTGGATCATGTTGATCTTTGTATTTTTAAATTTGTTGTAACATCTCAGGATCTACATATGTGCATATTTTGTTATATTCTAAGAATGTCATGATTTTTCTTGTTTCCTCTCCAACCCCCAACAAACCAAACTATGGATAATGAAATAATTTTTTTAATGCTTCATTTAGAGAGGTACACAAACAAGATAAATTTTGATAATCTGAGCTGTAATTTCTTTTAGCAAAATTTCCCTGCACAAGATACATACCATGTTTGAAATCATGTTATAAAATTTAAAAATGAATTTGATAAACATTATACTAGATTTATGCAACACAGTATCCTATAATACTCTAAGATATCATATGCAAATGTGACATGATTATCATATGCAAATGTGACATGATTTTTATTTTTCCTAATAAGTTTCAAGCAAGCTATTACCAATAGAAGTTGTTGGTGTGATTTGTCACATCTTAATTCACTTAAAGTTACTATTGTGACAATCTAAAACTGTCAATACATTTCCCGGGGAGGGAAAGTAAAACCTTAGGAATTGAGGCATGGCATGGTATGGAAACTCCTTTCTTTTAAATGAGACACAAGTGCCTTCAATAACTTCAATCCCAGGGATAAGACTTCAAAGAATCGAGATTGCTAAAGGTAAACTGATACTAGTCCTGAGTGCTTCCTTATATTACTCAATTTCAAACATCTTCATCAGGTAAATAGGGTATTATCATTTTCATTTTATAAATATAAAAACCAAAGAGTAGGCATTAAATGATTTATCTAAAATTGTTAGTTACTTCCAAACCTAGGATGAACTGAAGTTTCCTGTCTCCAGGGTCCTTTCTAATAAACCTTGTTATTGAGCACCTACTATGTGAAGGAGAATCCTAAGGATGTCATTTAAATGTGCATACCACCATGATACTTGACACCTGACCTTTGGAAATGAGAGCAAATCAAGGAGCTTACAAAAAAAAAAAATAACCGAAGTATATTTCATATGAGCTCATATGACTACCATTGTTAGTAAGTTAATTATCAATTGGTACTATAAAGAGGAAAAACATTAAATAAGTTAAACCTAAAAAAAAGTCTATCAGTAAGTTTCAGAATAATCTAATTGTTTCAGATTTAAGTGTAATTTCCAACATTCTGATTCACCTATTAGCTTATTTCAGAACACAGGCGACTTGAATTACTGTTTCCCATCTTCCCAGCTCCTAGATACGAAGATATATTATCCATTTTACAAATCAGGAAAATAACATAATTGACATAAGAAGCTCCATATGTGAATAACAGCGAATTATTTTTTTCACTATTTCCAAGGCCAGGAAATGAGAAAGCGATAATAGAAAAAAGCTTTTGATAAAAAGTAAAGCTTTTGGGGCCTCCCCTGGTGGCGCAGCGGTTGAGCTTGGGGCTGCAAGGCTGCCTGCAGCCTCTGCAGCGCCAGTTTGTTCCCCGGCCGGCCGCCGGCAAGGGTCCCACCAAAAGAAAAAAAAAAGCTTTTGTGTGAACATTTTTGAGTTTTGGTGGAAATGTTGCTACCAAAGAGAGCTAAATAATTTGGGAGATAATTTTTTTGCAGGTTTCTTTTTGACTCATCTTTGAATTCAGTGAATCTGCAAAATGGAAGAACCTCTTCAGCAAACTTAAATTAGAAGACTTCTATTTCTATTTCTGAGATATGCAAAATTTTAAGAATAGGTATTAGCTGTAAATACTTTTTCAAAATGTTCATGAGACATGGGTCTTTAAAAATTAATGTAGCTCTCTGTTTTATACAGAACTATAAATATTAGAGTACTATAGTTTCATTTTTGCCTCTATAAAACTATTTTGTTTTGTGATTGCCTCTGATAGCATTGATTCAACATATTTTTAATAGCACTTAGAAAAGTGCTTTATATCTTTGTCCTTTATATCTTTGTCCCGATATAGTCTGTGGTTTAGTTTAGGCAAAACATCAACTCTGAATACCTGGAAAAGTAAAAATAAAGTTGATAAAGTGAAAAACTTTCCAAGTAAAATAATTACATTTGTAAGTTATGCAAAATAAATTTAGAAGTTAAATTTCCATGTGGAAAGAGAAAAACATCTTACTTAGAGAGGATCTGTCCTTTAGAGCTTTATTCTTTGATTTTTAAGTCCATGTAAGAGAATGAACTTTGATGGAAGCTTTTCTCAATTGATGTTATAAAATGGTACCCTTTTTTAAATTATGAAAACAACTGATACATTTTTAACTTTTTCATTTTGAAATGACTTCAACCTGATAGGAAAATTGTAAGAAAAGTACAAGGAACTTTTTCTTCCTGAACCATTGAGCCAGTGCTGCCCCATCACCCTGCATACATTAGTATATAAAATACAATATATTCCTGTATTTTCAATATAGCAAAATCGGAAGGTAACACTGACATTACTGTAATTTAACCCACAGACCCCATTTGAGTTTCACCAGTTATCCACCAATATTCTTCATAATGAAGGGGTCTCACTTTGCATTTAGTTATGTCTGTTTAGTCTTATCAATCTGTAAGTTTGTAGTTCCTTGACTTTCATGATTTTAACATTTCTGAAGATTTCAGGTCACTTTACAACTGTTCCTCAGTTTGGGTTTGCCTGATCTTTCCTTACTAGACTCAGGTTTTATGCTAGCGACACCACCAGAGAAAAAAATACTATCTTTCTGCATCTTATTAGGTATCATGCTATTTTGATTTGTATAGTTACTGATGACTAGGCTTTGATTAGTTATTGAAGGTATACACTTCTCCACTCTTATACTTTTCTTTTTAATAACTATCTTTTAGGAATATTATCAAACTTTCACTCACTACTGAAAGATTTTTACCTGAACCAGTTATTATCACAATGATTATAAAATATTCATTCTCTGATCCCACCATCCCTTTACCTTCATTGGTTGGCATTCCACTGCAAGGAGCCTTCCCTTCTTGTGATTTCATGACTTCCTATTTTTTTCTATGGGTTATAATCTGTCCCTAACATTTATTTTGATTTCTGAGTATTGGTTTGGCCAGTGGCTGTTCTTTTGATCTGGCTCCTCTATCCTTTTGACATGCCCCACCATACTTGTAGCATGTTCTTACTTCCTATTACAGAGACACTCCAGGCATAGCTTGAATTTCATTTGCACCAGCCCTAGAATTGGCTAAACTGCTGCTTTTTAGTGGAATATGACATTTAGAAACCAAAACCTGGGCAATAGGTGTGCTCATTGCTATCATGACATTGCTGTGCCCAACCCTCTTGTGGCAAATGTACACACTTACATCTATGTACTTCTCTCTACATGTATGTAGAAAATTATGAGTTGTAATTTAAAACAGTGTTTACAATTCCAACTTTATTTTCGTTTTCTCCCTTTTCATATTTGTAATTCCTCTCTGACAGTGAGAAATCTGGCTCCTATCAGCTTCAAAGTATTTACTTAATACATCAGTTGCCCTCAAAACCAAGCTCCTATTGATGCATCCTTATTCCAGGTGACTGAGACTCCCCTCACATGTTCTTGGATCCATACTTACTCCCACACTTAAGTCATCGCCTGGGCTCCCTGTGGCAATATCTACCTGCACCTTGCTCAGTTTAAAAATGACTTTGTCCTGAATTATTCAGGAAAGGAGAGGGATAGGCAGAAAATAAGTCAAGAAAGCAACAAATGAAATGAAAATGGCATCTTAGTAAAGTAAAAATCAAAATCAACAGGCAACTATAAACCAGAGAGACAATACGGGGGGGAGAAGGGAGTAGGATCAAAACAAGGGGGGGTGGGAATTTTACAGGGATGATAACCAAGATGAAAATGCATACATTGCACAAAAAAGAAAAATGATGTAAAAAATATATAAAATAAAAATTTAAAAAAGGGCCTTCCCTGGTGGCGCAGTGGTTGAGCGCTGGGCTGCGAGGCTGCCCGCAGCCTCTGCAGCTCCAGTTTGTTCCCCGGCCGCTGGCGAGGGTCCCACAAAAAAAAAAGAAGAAAGAAAAAAAGGCATCTTAGCACTCTCACAAAATGATACTTTCAAAGAGGTTAATATGCATTTGAATATATAATTCATCTTTGGCATTCCATAAAAACACCTACTATTTCTACAAGACAATCATTTTTATATCAAGTAGCAACAAAATATTAAGGAATTTACAATTTTTTCCATTTATTACCAAGAAAAAAATCACTGTATACAAAGACATTACAAAGGTAATAAAATATTATGTACAATAAAGGTATTTGACATCTGAAAAATGTTTGCATCTAGGTATCACACAACATTAAATAATTGAACAGTACCTGAGAACTTTCAAAACTCATATTTCATCAGTACCTCAAAATTCATTTATGTCATTAAGAAGCATGTAAAAATATTTGGAACTGTCAGAAAATAGTGCCACTTCGCAGGGCTCTGGATATCAGCCAGCAGTATTTTAAGTACATTCTTTTAAAACAGAAGCTGTCAGTTCTGAAGGGGTCATCTGGTTTGAACCACGCATTAAGAATGCCCATTACCCAAAGACTTTGTGTTGTCCTTTCTGTCTCACCTAAAAGGTATCTTAACTGTGCAATAGTGGTTAGCATTTTTAACTAATTCGCTAATAAAAGCAACTGTGTCACCAATTGAGTCTCTGAGATTGAATTCCACAAATGGATCCCAAAGTCTTTCAATTGTCTATTTTTTACTACCTTTTGTGCAAAGCTTATATATATTTTTTAGATTTATTTATGCAGACAAAAGCACATGTAATTCTTCAAATTTTCTAAAGTCCAATAGTAAACTTAGGTTGTTGAAACAAATAAAAATGTTAGAGTATGGTAAGTTCTACCTTCTCTAAATAGATTAATTACTAGCAGTTGGTGTTTTTCACCTAAAGCCAGAGTCATTTAGAATAGAAAAGTACTTAGAAAAAACTGTATCAGCATTTTGCTTACTAATGAGGGTAGTTAAATAGCATGAAGTTGGACTTATGTTAAATAGCATGAAGTTTTCTATTATATATAATGCAAAAAGGATTCTAATTTTGTACTTTTCATACTCAACCTTTGAAAACAAAGTTGATCAGAAGTTTTTCAGTTGCAGCTTCCTTAGCTATGATGATAATCCTGCTTAGGAAGATAGTCAAACTACTTCCAATTCATAATCAACTTTGGCAAAGAAATTCAGAGTTACAGTTTCAGAACTGGAAGTCATTATCATCATTATATAATAGAAAATGTTTCTGGAAAGAATAAGAAATAAAGGTCCTCAAGATCTGGACAATGGCTAGCCACTCTAAAGAGAAACCCTCCTTAGGGTTCTTCCTTAAGACTAATTCATAGTGATATTTTCACCCTGCCATGTATCAGACAAATGGAAGGAGTGTTTTGGATTAGAGCTTAATCAGAGCCACAGGAGGTATGTGTGTGTGTTGGTTTAATAACATTTGATTAGCATTATATAATTTTACAGTATTTCTTATGCATTTTCAATTTAATACTACACACCTTGTGAGGCAGGCAGGTTAGGAATTATCTGTATTTTATATCTGAAGAGAGATTCACAGATGGTATGATTTGCTAAATAATAAACAGCTTTAAGTGAGAGAGCTTAATATTCAAACCCAAATGTGTTGACGAAAAAATCCCTATTCTTTCCATTTTTCATGCTATTTAACATTTACAGCAATGTCTTTAACCTCAACAATCAATTTGTGATATAACAAATTATTTGGTGCTACTAAGCAGCCTGAATCATGAAATACAAGTCTCTTAACATGGCAAGTACAGTTTTTCTGAAGCATTAAATTAGAAATTGATGACCCAGCTATTGATGTTCACTATAGTTCTAATTTAAAAGGCCATTAAGAACATATATTATGTTCTTATAATATAAATCAGAGTAGCAGTAGGAGCAGGTAGATTGGCAAGGTATATGAAGGAAACTTCAGGAAATAATTGTTTACATATATAAAAATTCATTAAGTTGCACATTTATAATTAATTCACTTTATACATTTTACTGTTATCCCTTAAAAGAACATGGTGCTTTGCACATTAGACATTCAAAAATGTAATACATTATCAATTGCATGAATACTAGAGTGTCTGTGCAGGGGTAGGGAGTCAAGGAAATGCAACGTGGCAGATTGAACCTGCCACATATCATAGAGAGAAGCAAGGTCAGAGACAATAAAGAATCCTAATAACTTTCAATTTCTCCCTATTACAGTTCTCCTTAGTACAGAAAGTACTAGGGTAAAGTATTTCACAGGCTGGAAATCTTGGTATCACTGCAGGTCAAGTACCTTTCCCATTAAGAATCTTATCCTCATCCACATTTTTATACAGACCTATGTTAATGTCACCCTTCCCTCTTAAAAATAGCTACCATTTATTCAGCAGCAACTATTCTTGGGATTGTGGTGAGTGATGGCTTTCCAAGTATAAATGAGACAAATCTTAAACAACTATAATTCACTTAAAAGGAGGTCTACAATAAGGGCATATGCAAAGCTGTGCTTCAACTATCAAAAAGCATAGTCTTAAAGGCTACATCTTTAAACTCAACAATTTGTAGTATTACAAATTATTTGGTGCTGCTAAGAGCTGTTGAAGAGCAGAGGCAGCATGGACAACATGTTAAGGACATGGAGTTCCTATTGTCTAAGAAACTTTTTTCAGAGAATGTTAACTATAATCGGGCCTAAGGGAGAATGAGATATTTTTTAACTGTATATGAAAAACATTCTTGTTGGGGAAAGAGAGCGAAGACCTATACTAAGTAAGCAGTAGAAATGAAAGAGGGACAACTGCAAGAGATTTTTTCTGGAGGTACACTCAAAAGGACATAATGACTATGAGTGTGAAAGAGAAAAAGAATTAAAAAAATGTGATTTTGAGATTCCTATTAAATATCTTGGGTGGCAGGGTAAATGAGTACCATTTCATAATACCATTAATGAAAGAAGAGAATGCAAGGAGGAACCGATTTATAAAGGCATTCGGGACACCCAGGGGGAAAACAGCACCAACCAAGGGCTGGGGTTGAGACTAGGAAAAAAAAGTCAATCTGAGAGAACTCTTGTCTAACACAGAAGGTGTTAAACAATCCCCTACTATGGTCTATTAAAGTATATTAATTATGTGCTTATGATTTTTAAAATTATGTAACAGAATGTTTCATATTTATCTTTTGTTTCTAGGTATAAAACAAAACCGGTCTTAAGTTAGTTATACTTAGTATCAAGATAGTCCCATCATAATTAAGATTGTCCTACCATCATTTTGCTACTGGTATTACTTTGCTTTACACTATTTGGATTAACATTATTAATCCTCAACTTTAAGTACATGACTGATATAAATCCAATGTCACATAAAACAGAACTGTAAAGATCATAAACATTTAATAATTAAAGCTACTTACTCCTTTCAAAAAACAAAGCTCTATTTAGTAGTACTCTGAACATTAAATATTTACTGATCATCGCTTATTATGCTTATTATCATATTGCTTAAGATGAGGCAGATACTTCTACAAACTGGGAATGCAACAAACAAAAAAATTTCTGCCATATTAAACAATTACAATCATAAACATTTAATAACTAAAGCTATTTACCCCTTTCAAAATTCAAAGCTCTAGTGGTACTCTGAACATTCAATAAATATTTGCTGATTATTGCTTATTATGCTTATCATATGGCTTAATATGAGGCAGACACTTCTACAAACTGGGACTTCAACAAACAAAAAAATTTCTGCCATATTAAACAATTACAATCATAAACAATAATTAAAGCTATTTACTCCTTTCAAAAAACAAAGCTCTATTTATTAATACTCTGAACATTCAATAAATATTTTCTAATTATTGTTTATTATGCTTATCATATTGCTTAATAAGAGGCAGTTCTACAAACTGAGGATTCAACAAACAAATTTCTGCCTTCATGGGGCTTGTATTTCAGTATAGGGAAACAAATAGTAAACAATATGCTTCATAGTATTGTAGAAACAAAATAGTAAACTCTATGCTTCATAGAGTCCAATCACGGTAAGTGCTATGGACAAATATAAAGGAGGGGAAGACATGAAATGCCAAGAGATAGTCGAGGAACGCTGTATCAGGTTAACAGTTGAGTGTGACTGAAGTTTGTAAAGGTGTAAACTCTACATATATCTCAGAGAAAATCATTCAAGGCAGAGAGAACACCAAGTATAAAGGTTCTGATGCAAGACTCTGGTTGGTGTTTTTGAAGAGGAGCACTGAGGCCACAGTGCCTGGAGCTGAATGAGGGAGAAATGGTAGCAGATGAGGTAGAGAGGGAGTTTAGGCCTGCTAATTTTAAGAATTTTGGTCTTTACTCTGAGTGAGATGGAGAGCCACTGTATGGCTCTGAAAAGATCGATATAATTTGTTTTAAAAGTATGATCACTTTAGCTACTTTAGGAAGAATAGTCTGTAGGGGTACAAGGATGCTTTTGGGAAGCTATAGTTTCAATCCAAGTAAGAGGTGATGGTGCCTTGGGACAGGATGTTGACAGCAGAGGTCAAAAGAGGTGGTCAACTATCGAAAGCTGTATGGAGGTTCCTCAGTCTACTAAAAATCAAGTCACCATATGACACAGCAATTCCACTCCTAGAGATCTACCCAAAGAACACAAAAACACTGATTCAAGAGAATACCTGTACCCCTATGCTTATTGCAGCGCTGTTTGTAATAGGTAAGATATGGAAACAACCCAAATGCCTCAAAATAGATGACTGGATCAAGAAGATATGGCATATATACACAATGGAATACTACTCAGCAATCAAAAAAGATAAACTCATGCCATTTGTGGCAACATGGATGGAGCTAGAAGGAATTATGCTCAGTGAAATAAGAAGGAAAAAGAAAATATTGGATGGTTTCACTTATAGGAGGAATATAGGGGAACCAATAAGACATCATGGGAAAAAAATAGTAACAATTCAAAACACAACACAACAAAACAAAAACAGATAATTATAAACCAGAAACATCCTGCAGGGGGAGGGAAAGAGAATGGAAGGAGGGAGGAAATTCTATGGGGACTACACCTGAGAAAAGAAAGCAAACATTGCTTAAAAATGAACAATGATGTAAAATATATATAAATAAATAAATTTAATAAAAAAAAAGAGGTGGTCAGCTTTGGATATATTTTGAAGGTTGGGCTTATGTATTTGTTGTTGGACTGGATATGGGAAATAAAAGGGAAAAAAAAGGAATCAAGGATGTCTCCAAGGTTTGGATCCTCAGCAACTAGAAGTGTTTATTGACATTTATTGATTTGGGGAAAGCTGAAGGAGAAGCAAGTTAGGGAAGGAAAATCAAGAATTCAGTTTTGGGTATGTTGAATTTGAGCTTTAATTAAATGTCTCAGAGAAGTCAAAAAGTCAGTTTTACACATACGCATAAGCTTTAAGCTGGAGTTCTGGGGACAGGTCTCAGCTAGTAGTGAAACTGGGAGTTGACAGTATGAAATTGTATGCAATAACAGGAACTGAAGACATAATAAAAAAGAGAGCTCTAACGAAATCTTCCTTCAAAACATAAGTAGTAAAGTTAAAGTTATCAGCAATACAAAAAATTTGGACTTCAAGGTAAAGCTCACTTTACCTTCTGCCCAACTTAACACTTTTTTAAACAAAGATTTTATTTATGCATGCAAAAACTGGGGTATAGGATAGAAGTGCGGGGAGAGGGGTGAGAGGATTCACCAGAATCAGAGTGGGGAGCACAGCATGTGAACTGACTGAAATACACTGCTGAGGGGAGAAACAGGAGACAGGAAAGATCTGATGTGCCATGTGGGTCACCTCTCTGGCCAGGGATCGTGGTTGCCCATAGCTTTATAGTGCTGAGACTTAATCCCTTGTGCCACCAGGGAGGACCCCAACTTAAAACATTTTAAAGGAATTTTGTTATGTCTTCTTCAACAAGCCTCAGAAAACCCCTTAGGGGTCACCTTGGCCCAAATTATAAGTAATTTTTTCAATGACATAGTCATTACAGGTTTTACCTTAAATTTGCTTAAAAGCAAATATTAGTTCATTCATTTAACTAAAAATGCATTAATACATTATTGAAGCAGTATATAAAAGGAGGTTTGGAAAATGAGATCTACTGTTCTGAAATTGGTCCTTGGAAAAATGTGATGGGACTCTAATTCCCAGTGCACACAATATCAGGTTTCAGGAGAAGAAACAGTAAAGTCCTTTTTCTAGTTTGGAATTTTCCTTTTACTTTGTATTCTACATACCCAAATTTTTTTTTTAATGGAAAAATTGATTTTATTCATTTTAACATGTCACAGATTCATATACACTTAGATGGTCAAATAATGATTTAACTTAGGTTGAAAGTAACTTTCAGTGCTTATGTAGGATTTTATAGGACATCATCACACAGCTCAGTCTGGGTGGATTTATCTACTCTTGAAGCAAAAGCTTTCTATAAATGCTGGACTTTTTCCAGCTCTTCCTGAAGGGAGAAATGAGTTCATCCCTCTCTTTCAGCTATAGCTTCAGCAATGAGCATTCACCTTTCATTATACCCTGACAAACCCTCTGACAGCTAAATCAGGATCTCCAGAGCTAAGACTGCCTGTTAGAGGAATCCCCTACACACCCAGTTTTACATACCTCTTCTCAATGAAGAAGTTTTTGGACTATTATACATTAAAAACAAAAACAAAAATCCCTGTTGTTATAGCCTCAGAGAAATATAAAATACTGCATCTATGTAACATAAAACAACTGCACACTTTTAAAAGGATTTAAACCTTGAATCACCATTTACATCTCACAAGCTGTCTGAAAAAAATCCAAACTCAAATGAGTCAGTCAATTGCTCATTCTGCATACTACCAATACTTGAATACTGACTACTTTGAATAAAACCGTGACTGTTTGTATTAGTACTGTTTGATGGTCCTGACTCATTTATTATGCTGTTATCCGCACAACTGAAGTCAGATCTCTCAAATGCATCTGATTGTGAAGTAAAAGCAGAACTAGAATTGGTGCCTGCTGACATACTGGAAGAGGACATCTGATGGAACTGTCTCAAGTCTCTTGAGTTTAACACTGAATTACATGAGGGGTTTTCAAGATTCATGCTCATGAGTCTTGGATTATCAGTGTCCCTCATGCTATCATTACTAGGTGTTATCATATTCACATGACAGTTAGGCAGCACGTTGGTATCAGAAATACCATATAAATCCGGTGGTGAGATGGATGATGCTGCCATTCTGCCTATATCACTAATATTATTATAAATGCAAGCATTAGAAGCATTCAAATCATTCACAACTGGTATTTCCAAGAGTGATGAGATACCTTGTGAATTAGAGGGAAGCGTCCCTGTTGGAAAACTACTTGGATTTGTACTGCCTGAGTGTGAAGTGGATGGGGCCACTGATGACCAGCTTGAAGGAGTCTGAGGTACCATCGAGGGTATGGCTGAGGGATGATGTGACAATGCACTTGAAATGGTCACAGACGAGGAATAGTAGGATTCTGCTTGACTTGAAACTTCTGAAGGTCTGGCCATTTCTGTTAAAACCGGACTGTGAGAAAACAAGTTCGATTCTGTGGGGGGAGGGAAAAATGTACTTTTACAAAGCTAAAATAAAAACTGTAAAAAGCATTATTTCTAAATTAAAATTGCATAAATACACAAAAAATTTTCAAGGAAACTGATGTAAAAATTTTAAATAAAAATGTTAAGTAGAACTAAAATTATTACAAGTCCAGAACTAAATTCTGTAATACTTAACTGTTTTACAATATGTATAAAATAATTTTATTAAGTTACTTTGGCATTTCACTCCAGTTAAATAGAAAAATCTAGCTTTTGAGGTCCCTAAAAGCATTTTTGAAAAGTAAAACATAAATATCAGAATTAATGGGGTCCAAATAGTCAAAAGATTTTTATATTCTCCATTTTTAGGAGAAAATGGAAAGATGAAGGAAACACTCATTCGGGATGACTGAAGAGATCCACATAACTTTCTAAAGTGTATTAAGATTTACTCTGACATAATAATTTCTGATAAAATTCTGAGTATAAAAAAAAAAAGGATTCTGTATTTACATATATTATGATGGCTGTATATAATAAACCAGGAAAAAGCAGTGATTTAAGAATGTAAGTGGACAAAACACTCCCAATTAACTTTTGGTTTAATTAGCTAAATCAGATGTTGGCAATGTTTTTTTCTATAAACTGCCAGACAGTAAATATTTTGGGCTTTGTGGGCTATTTACAGCCTTTGTCAAAATTGCTCAACTTGCAGGGTTGGGGAACAACCATAAACAATATGTAATCAAATGAGTATGTTCCAATAAAACTTTATAAAGTTAGCTGTCTGGTCAGATGTGAACCATTTTTTCACAACATGCTCTAATTATCACCATATGAAAGCAACATAATTTCTTGAACAAATGCGCCAGTTTCTAATAGGACCTTCAAAAGCTGAGGTCAATTCATTCAATATTCAAAGCATAAAAGAATATTAGTAGGATCAAAGAATCTATTTTTAAGAATAGAATTCCACTGGTCTTTCTGATTCTTAGTCATACTTAGACTGTTAAAATACCTTTTTTTTTTTAAATACCTTTTTTGATGTATCTTCCTTCTCCGCTTGATCCTGGGGGACCAGTTCTAGGTCTTTCAGGAAAATTAACTGCTATGATAAAAAATTTTTCCATTATTAAATATAATTTGAAAAACAACATTAACAGTTCAAACTTGAAGAAATGAATAAAGAAACAATATTTAAATACAAATCAAAATATTCTTACCACAATCCTGCCATATTTTCTGGAAAAATAGAGTTGTTTTTTGTTTCTTTGCTTTATTGCCATAAGTATCTGGTTAAAAAAGAACCAGGAAAATATGTAAATCATCACAGAATTAAGCTTCCTTTTCTTTAGTAAGTAAACCAGTGTTTTATAAAACACCTATATAGAAATTGCTTTGAATAAACGTATATAATATGGATTTAATAAATGTTGCAGATGTGTCCCAAGTAAGGGTATTTTTCTCTCAGTGAAAAAACAGCTAATAACATTCATGTTTTTTCCTGTAGTACCTATGTTAACAGGGTCAATTCATGCAACAAGGGTAGATAAGGACCAAAATGGAGACCACTCAGCATGGCAAATTTGCCATAATAAAAAGGATATAAAAAAGGAGGAAAACAGAAACTCAAAAATAAAACAAATCTTGATAATTTTAGAATTATTTCAGATTCCTTTCCTTAGAAAAAGATACAAAGGGCATAAAGACCAGTAAGTCTAAATTAATTGAAAACTTTCAGAAAAGAAACAGATTATGAATAAACATTAACAATATTCACATCTTACAAGAAAATGTTATTAGCAGAACTAACTTTAAGTACTATGTAAAACATTATCACCAAAAAGTCAGACCTTTTTCATCTGGCAGATATCTAAAATCCATAGATTCACTAACTTCCTGGTCAGAAGGTCTCCGCAACTGCATTTTCACTGTTACTGGTTCCATTATAGCTTTGCAATATGGTGGAGTCTTGAAAACAATGGCTACTTGACGATGTACATCAGCTTGTGAAAAAATGCCTTTTGCTTCCCAATCATTCAATACAAACCGAACTTCTATGTCATCTAGTAAACAAGAAAGCAAAAAATAACAAAGGTAAAACAAAGTAAAATGTATTTATTAATCTAAAATATATTCAGAATTCAAAGAGATAAACAACAAATAAATACCTTTCTGAACTTTGTCACAGAGTAGAAATATTTCATCTCCTCCACTGACACTTCCACAATTCTTGTTTACACGACAAATCCTTAATTCTGCAGTATTAGGAGCACCTAAATATAAACAAATTTCTTTAATGGGTTGGTACCTTCATAACATTTTATCCTTCTTGAAGGAGAGAACATTAGGAAAACAATTTACAGGATGGATAAAATTTTTAGTGATAGGTAAATTAAGGACACTAATACATTAACCTTCCATGTGTCCCATTCTTTTATAACTGTACTGCCAACCTGGTTGGGCAGGAGCTTTGTAACTTCACTTCTAGGCAATGACAGGCTCTGTAAGTAAACCTCTCCTGTTTCTAAATTTGGAGTCTTCCAATCCATCATACATACTCACCAGATTAATCTTCTTAAATCATGGCCAGAACACTATGGCAATCAAATTTCCATAATTCCTATTATTTGGAAAATATTATTCCAACTTTCCCTGGCATTCAAAACTCTCCATGAGATACTCTGACCTACCTTTATAGCCCTATGTCCCACTATCCTTCTACATGTAGAGCTGGCACAGTCATAGACTACTGGGAGACATATGTAAGTATGTATTTATTACTTGTGCACGCGTGCGCGCGCGCGTGCGCGCGCGCGCACACACACACACACACACACACACACATAGAGTATGAGGGCAGTTTCATAATCTTTTAAAATTAAACATCCATATCCTTGGATCTAGCATTTGTCAACATTTCTACTCTATAAATTTATGCTAATTTATAAATTTATGTACAAATAGGCACACACAAGGATATTTACTGCAGTAAAATTTGTTAAAGAAAAAAGAAAAAATCAAGAAGGAAATAATTCAAATGTCTTATAATGAGGTAATGGTTTATTAAAATTATGATATAGTCATAAAGAAACATACAGTTACAGAAAAGAATAAGATACCTGAAAGGGAAAGGTTTAAATTATATTGCTAAAAGAAAAAAAGTAGGTCTAAAAAAAGAATAGTAATGATTTTTTTTTTAAGTTGTCAAAAATAGATTGTGTAAATGATGATACTGGTAATGTTTTTGCATATATATGAAGGAGAAACTAGTAAAATATGTACCTGAGAATCATGGGGTTTTTTGGGAGAATGAGATTATGGAAATTTTATCTCCTTATCTACTTCATAACTGTTTGAATTATTCTTGTAACAAGTATATTCTTCCGAATTATCAAAATATTTGAAAATAAACTATTAAGAAAGACAACTATACACAAGAAAACAAAGTACTCACGGTTATCATAAATTGGGTTAGAGACAACGGGAGGTAGAGCAGTTGTCAAATTACCATGTGCATCAGGGAGGAAAACTTGAAAACATAATCTCACCACATTGAGGTCATAATCTTCAATATCAGACAGCTGTGGTTCAGGGACTAAAGAGTACATATTTTTAAGAATGTAGAATTGTCACATAGAACTAAAATCCAACTAGGTCTCCCTCCCTTCCCACTATATCCAATAACCTTGAGTAGTACCCAAATCTGTACTAACAAAAAAAAAATGGTATACAATCTTAAGAATCCTTTTATTATTATGTAGGCAACAGATAACAGAAATCATAAGTTATAGACAGTCAAGAAATTACTATCCTATAGCCATCTGATCTGAAATAGTACAGCATAATCCCAAATTGACATTAATAACAAAACAAGTTAATAAAAAATGGCTGCACATTATACACAACTGAGAATAGGTATTCATTTATTAATTTTACAAATTAAGTCTAGCCATTATGTTAAAGATTTTAAATGATCTCCTCCACCTGTACAAGAATTACTATCATTCCCATTTTACATAGAGACTGATTTTTAAGAGAGAAAATTACTTGTCTAAAGTTTCACAGCTAAGAAGTGGTAAAGCAGGAATTCATACTCAGGTCATTGAACCCGGTCTATGCTCTTAAAAATTGAACTCTATTTGAAAATCTTACATAGGATTCGCATAAAAATTATATCACAGGAATATATTCAGAGCAATATTTTGGAGATGGAAACAACAGGGTTTCCCTAGAAATATGTGCAGGTTAGGATTACCTTAAGGAGAAAACATCTTGCAGCTCTGAAAAAAATATAAAACCCCACTTTTATAGACTATACTACAATGAGTTTGTTAAATTGCTATCTGAAAATAAATCCAAATGCCATTAGCTGTAGCAGTAAATCATAATAGTCATATTTTTTAAAATGTGAAATATATGTATTACATGAAATTTTATTTTTCAGAAACTATTAAAATATATAATGCTAACTTAGAAAACACAGTTAAAGCTCAAACTCCTTAGTCCTCCAGGCAATAACTAATAAAAACAGCATATTCTTGACTTTTAAAGTTAAACTACACTTCAGTCTCAGTAGCTATTACAACATTTAAAAGTATCAGCATTTTAAAAAAGATTTATTTTATTTATTTATATATACAAGAACTGGGGTCTAGGCCAGAGGTGCGGGGGAGAGGGGGTTGAGAGGATTCACCAGAGACAGAGTGGGGAGCAGAACAGGCGGATTTACTGAGATACACTGCTAAGGGGAGCAAGGTGAGACAGGAGAGGTGTGCTGTTCCATGTGGGTCAGCTCCCTGCCTAGGGATCGAACTCGTGCTGCAGTGGCTGCTGATAGCTTGACAGCATTGAGACGTTAAGCCCTGTGCCAATAGGGAGGCCCCAAAAATTATCAGCAATTTTAAGCCTAACAATTGAAAGGTTCAATAAGCACATATTTAGACAACTAAAAGGTGAAAATGCTGAGACAAACACCTGTATCATAGCAGATTACTGGCACAATTATATATGCAATGAGAAATCTACCTCTTCAAATTTAATTTTTTGTAGTATCATAAATTTAAAGTTCAAGACATTAATTTTGTTAATATTTTATTTTATATAATTCTTTCATCATTTTTCATTTTTGCACAATGTATGCATTTTCATTTTGGTTATATTCCCCATACAATTGCCACCCCCCTCTTTATTTTTATTTTTTTAAAGATTTATTTATTTATTTTTACAAGCACTGGGTACAGTCAGAAGTGCGGGAGGGTGAGAGAACTGACCAGAGCCAGAGTGGGGAACAGAACAGGCAGACTGACGAAATACACTGCTGAGGGGAGCAGTGGGCACGGCAGGAAAGGTCTGTCATGCCATGTGGGACCCTCGCTGGCGGCCAGGGATTGAACCAGCGCTGCAGAGGCTGAGGGCAGCCTCGCAGCCCAGCACTCAACCGCTGCGCCACCAGGGGAGCCCCCCCCCTTTATTTTGACCCTATTCCTTCCTCTCCCCACCCTCCACCCATAGTGTGTCTCTGGTTTATAGTTGTCAAGACATTAATTTTTCTCAATTCCAAAGATGAGTAATCAATACATACAAAAATAAACTATCAATAATAGTAGGTAAGTGCTCCTGAGAAGTTTAAAAACAAACTTACATTAATGAACAAACAGGGTCCTCCCTGGTGGCGCAAGGGGTTAAGCACCATACTATGAGGCAATCCACAGCTGCTGCAGCATGAGTTCGAACCCCGGCTGGCCAGGGAGAAACCCACATGGCAAGGCAGACCTCTCCATCTCGCCCGCTGCTCCACTCAGCAGTGTATTTCAGTCGGTCTACCTATTCTGTTCCCCACTGTCTCTGGTGGATCCTTTCACCCCCTGCATCTCTGGCCTGCACCCCAGTTCTTATATGCATAAATAAATAAATCTTTAAAAAAAATGAACAAACTGTCAGTCATACAAAAAAGAACAAATTAGAATAAACACCCCAACATGTATGTATCTCAAAAATATTAAGCTGAGCAAAAGGAACCAGATATAAAATATATACTATGGGGCCTCCCTGGTGATGAAGGGATTAAGTCTCAGCACTATGAAGGTATTGGCAGCCACTGTCAATGGGCCTGTTCTACTCTCCATCCCTCTCTAGTGAATCCTCTCACCTCCCCGTACCTCTGGCCTATACCCCAGCTCTTGTATGCATAAGTAAATAAATCTTTAAAAATTAAATAAAATACATACTATATGTTTCCATTTACCTGAAATTCTAGGAAAGACTGAGTCTATTGCAATAGAAAGCAAATTAATAGTCGACTAGAACAGGTCAGGGTGAACTGACTGGGCAGGGGACCAAAGAAATTGGGGGTGGTGGTGGTGGTAGTGGAAATGTTTCTTATCTTGACTGTGGTGGTACCATGTATACATAATTTGGGTGGATCTTATTGTACATAAGTTAGATCTTGATAGAAGTTTATTTAAAACTTTTTTAAATGGTGCATAAAAGAAAACTGAACTGGTTAATCAATCAAAGCTTAAAAACATTTAGTCACATAATTGTTCCATCAAAGAGAAAAAAACTCTACCTTCTCTAAAAATTGCTTTCATGGAATTTTACTTTCAATTTTCTTAATGTGTGGGAATATAATTAGTATAACATCATAATTACTTCCATTTTTGAAAAGCATGATTAAAAATCACTGACCAGTAAGCAGGAATCAGGACCAAAATCTGGTTCAAAACTACTTCTTTTCTGCAAAGTCTAATCTCATTCTCTGAAATAGAAGACATATCTCCTCTCTCTTCGTACAACACTTGATCTACACCTCTCTTACACACTTTAATTGATAATTATGTATGCACACCTTATCAACCCTTTCGACTAAGTTCCAAGAAGGCAGATGTGGTCAGGTGCATCCTCATATTTTACTAAGCATGGAATATAGTGACTTACATAAAATAGATGTTTATTAAACAATATCTCAGCGAGTGACTGAAAAATGAATTTTTTTAAAAGGCCATTTACCTCCATTTAAAAAAATAATAAATTGGGCCTCCCCGGTGGCGCAGCGGTTGAGCGCTGGGTTGTGAAGCTGCCCACAGCCTCGGCTGCGCCGGTTCGATCCCCAGCTGCTCCCCGGCCACCAGAGGAGGGTCCCACATGGCATGCAGACCTCTCCTGCCGCCCGCTGCCCCTCTGCCTGCTCTGCTCCCTGCTCTGGCTCTGGTGAATTCTCTCACCCTCCCGCGCTTCTGACTGTACCCAGTGCTTATATAAATAAATAAAAATAAATCTTTAAAAATAATAATAATAATAAATTTTAAAAAGAAAAGGCATTGCAAAATAAAGGAGTCTCTCTAAAATCAGTGTTTTGTAGGCTTAAAGTATTAAGTAACAAAAAAAAAGAGTGTTTGAGCAATCAAATATTTAGACATTTTCAAAAGTTGGTCAAGAAAACTGTAAAGGAAAAATTGATGAAGGGAGGTAGGGTAGATAGTATGCATTGGGACCCACTCTACCATGAGAACTAGAAAAGTGGGACAAAAATGAAGAAAATCTGTCCTAAGGTATCAGAGACTTGAGGGATCAAGATGAGTCATTTGAGGGAGGGAGAGCAGAACCATGTAGCCAACATACGGGAAAAGAAAACTAAGACATACATTCCTATTTCTACTAACTGTGCACCAACACTTCTGAGTGTCCTACAATTTAACTCAGTGCTGACCCTTGTGCACTAGATTTTCAGTTTATTATAGCAGGATACAACTCAGGAAAAGGGAAGAGATTCATAATTCCAAGAGTGTAGGAGCTGCACAGAGCTTTCAATCCCTCCCTGCACATATTACTCTCTCAGCATCTCCACATAGTCACCAATTTAGAAACTCCAAACTCCTTGGGTTAGAAATTTTATGGGGGCCTTCTCTTTTAGGCATAGTTGATTAAATCTTTGGTTTCTGTTGATCAATTGAACCTCCTGTCTTTCTGTCTTTCTCCCGTTCCAACAGGTGAGAGAACTGAGATTGAAACCTCCAAATTTGAAATAGTATGGTTCAGTGGGCAATCAGTGGCCCCTTCCCCCGCCCTCTGGGGTTTTCCAAAAGCCACCTCATTAAAATAAAGTCAGGTGTGATTGAAAGTGGCATGTTATGAATAACAAAATAAACCCCTTTCTTTTTTTTCTCTTATCATTTATCAAATTCCAAGCTCTATAACAGAAATGTATATTCATGTACATTTCTTATAAATAACAATAATCACAGAAACCCAGAGAGGTAAGTTCAGAGTCAAAGAATACTTTTTTCTTGCCAATTTAGTAAGAGGTGGCTAAGAGGATGAGCAGTTGAGACAAAGACTTCATAAAATAAAGGGAGCTGAATCTGCCAAGAATGGAGGCTCTGGTAAGGAGCAATACCTACGAGGTAAGGGTGAACTGGATATCCCTCTCAAGGGATGAAAACCCAGCTTCAAATAATTTAAATTGCTCACTGATTTTAGGTAATTTGGGAATGCTAGTGTGACTAGACAGAAGAAAATGTTCTGAAGAAAGAGAGCATGCTGGACCTAAAATCTTTGCAATTTTTCATATAATCACTGGTATTCTATTTGAAATAA